TCTTTAAAAGAGTAATGAAAACAGATCATTTTAAAATATGATAGAATAATTTAATTATATTTTTAGTCCTAATGCATTTTTTTTCCACATGTGCAGCAACATGTGAAGAGTTCATTTGCAAAAACAGATAACTCCATCTTCACAAAAAACCCACTTCTCCATCGTCTACCTGAGACAAATATCAATCAAACTTAAGTTATTGTTGACATGTCATTTCTGCTGAGTCAAATCCACTCAACTTCAGTTTGATTTTGTTTCAAGCAAACAACAACAAAAAAAAGTTTTCTGAAAATCTACAACAATGGAGTTATTTGTTCTTGCAGATGAACTCTTCAAGTACCCAAACTTGTAAAAATCTTGTGTGAAATCCCTGCTAAAGACATTTCACTGCAGCTGCTATAATTTTTATTACAGGCGTAGCACATAAAACGATGTGGTCACCTAGAATATTAAAAAGCATATTTGCCACTTGTGATGTCTCTGCATCAACATAACCCCAGTTTTGTGTTCAGGTGTTGTCTAAACACTGTAAACATAAAAACCTGGGTGTGATGACTTAAGCTTTTCTTTCTTTTATCATCAGATGACATTTATCAGATGCAGAAACAGCAAAAAAAAAAAAAGAATCATCTGATTTTTAGCTTTCAGTGCATGAACGTATCATCTGGTACGTGCAGTTTCAGTGGGAAAATTAATCAGATCTAAGCTTGAAATCATGATGTTTCATCAAAAACACTTTATTCCGCACGTCTCATTAAAAAGCTGTGCCAAACATAAGCTGTTTGCAGTAACCAGATCCTGTACCAAAACTAAAAAGACTGCACTCCTCAGCGAAAATGAGAAACCATGAGCGACTCAGCTGTGACTTTCACATGCCTAAAATTCTGAGAGTTTTCAAATGCACTGGGCTGAACTGCAGGTTGTGTTTACACAGAGAAGATAGGAGACAAACATGGAAACGAGATAAGAATGTAAGTAATGAATGTACATAACATGTGGAGGCCTCCATTTTTATTTCCAGTATTGGTAATATCTGCTGGCACTTGGACAAATGTACAGATTTATTCATTTTCAAATTTGAAATAGAACAAATAGAAATGCAACTTTGGTTTTGGTTGTTATAATTTATGATGCTAGAACTGTGTCATAAAGTTTTTGTTTTTTTTCGTTCTCTCTACTTCCAGCCATAGTTGTGCCGTTTCCATAAAGGGTGCAGGACTTTATGTTGCTGTGAAAAATGAGCCCACGCTGAGTAAATCACCCAGAAAGTCTTTGGACTTCAGAGGGTTCGTGGAACTTCATTAAACATTAAAAACGGATTTACAAAAAAAATCTGCAGCAATCTGTCACAACACAGTATTCAGTGGAACCTTTCTACTATTCTGCAGTTAAGTCGAAGGAAAACTGCTTCTGGAAAAAGATATTTCCATTAATTTTTTTTTTTTAATGTAACTTTCGCAGTCAACTCCACACAGGAAATTCCTGTCCAGCCAAGCAAAACTTTACAGTACATATATGTCCTGTGTTACAAGTTGAGTGAGCAGATGTGCTATTTTTGTAAAACAAGTTTCTATATAATGTATGTGTAAAATCTGCTTCCATTTTGCATTGGAGCTTCAGCTGCACGCCCAAGACAGCAGCAGACTGTGTCATTTAAAGGTCAGCAGCAGGTTTGCAAAACAGATTCATGCAAGAAACTTTTCATGGGAAAAAAAATCAAGCCCCTGACAACAATGGCAGTAATCAGATCTTTCATAGAAACAACACTTCATTGGCAAAGTGACGTCCCACAGAATCTCTTCCTGGTTTTTATGGACTCACGCGAGATGAATCCCAAATTCTTGATGTGTCTCTGTTATTCGTGGGTCGTCTGACAGTTAATGATTCCTTCAGATGTGCCTCAGCGGTTTTCCTTGCCAACTTTTTCGGACCAGTTGTTGTTCTGTGCTGTGTGCGCTTCTTATGCAAACGCTCGGCCTGATTCTTTTTGACCTGCAGGAAGACAAAGGACTCTGCTGCCACTTTTTGTCCACCTGAGTGAAAATTCAGTATTGCATCTCATCCGCTGAGGCCGCTTGGTAGCCATGTTTGTGGTCTCTGACAGACTCCGAGATGGAAGCCAAACACTTTGGACTGAAAAAGTGAGCTTGAGTGAGGGATTGTTTTTGGATTCTGCTCAGTATATTCCAGGACCGTCTCCATCCTACTTTTCTCCAGACCAGAGTGGGCCTCCGATTGGCCACGAGGCTGAATCACTCAACCTTTCGGGCAACATTTTTTTGAATTTGTCAACACTTCTGTTTGTATAAAGAGGTCCCAGAGAAGAGTCAGTGAAAGGACTTTGCAGATGAGACACCCTTTCAGAGGAAAACAGCTGTCATTTTTATTTCTGGCACAATAACAGGAGCTGGAAATAAGCTCCAACATGTGGGAGAATGTCCAGCGTGAAATCTCAGAGGAAAAGATTGTCATACACAGAGATATTTAAAGGTCTCCGCATTCCTTTTAAACGTAAGTGCTGCCCTTTGACTCGACATGATTTGCAAAAGCTGTTCTACCTGATGAAAGATAATAGCAATATAACACCGGCTGATGGGTTTCCAAATACAAATATTTCATACGCGGTGTCTTCTTCTGCAGTGTTTTGTTGACTTGACCTTAAAAGTCTGAGCAAACCATTAATTATCTGACATCTGTCACCCATTCAAGGTGATTTCATCCGTCCACTTAATGCCTTTCCCCTCACAGCCTCCTTTCATCTTCTCTTGCTCATCAGTTGACATGTCTGGCTGTTAAACGGGCAAAGTGGATTGTGGATTAATTTTACTGCTCTCTAACAAAACGTCCTCTAAGACCAGAGGAGCCTGGATAATCATATTAGAGTCATTCTCAGGGAGCTTACCTCCACAGCAGCAGGACAGAGCGCTTTTGACTGAAGGGGGGGGGATGTCTTAGGCGAACCTGGCGGCACCGCTGGGGGACAACGGCCAGGTTTTCTGACATCATGGGACAAATCCGGTCCCTGCTGGCCGGGGATCAGTGGCTTCGGACCAGACAGACAGGGAGCAGCCACACGGGTCTCTGCGTGTGGATCTATGCGCTGATGGGGGGCCACCAAATGGGAATGATATAATACAGGCAAAATGTCAGCGGACTACAGCTTTCCTTGTTACTTTCGGCTTTCGGGAGGAAAAATTAAGTGGAAGCTGCAATTTACCTGTCAAAATAAATTTGGCTCCCTGTTTGCTTGTTTAGCTGGATGTTGGCCTGTGTATGTGTTGAAAGGAATTATGAATTCGCTCATTGTTTACACCTGTGTGTGTGTGTGTGTTTGCGAGCATGCCAATGATATTTCCTTACCATCACGTGTCAGTGTGTGTAAGTGAGAGAGGCCTGACATTCACATTGAAAGACAGCACTTTTTTTTTTTTTTTTTTTTTTGCGCTAACCTTCTGTGTGTACACCAAGGGCGTGACCTGCCCTTACCCCGGCTGACTCAGCCAATCGGCATTCCTGTTGAGGTGGAAGTGCTCCAGGCCATGTCCTCTGGGGACAAAAGGAGATGGAAGGGAAGAGGGAGCACACCGTGGGGGGGAGAGCTTTGAATAAAAACACAAGCGGCGTGTATCAATGACTTACAAGAGGCATAAATCACTACAAGGAGGGGTGGTGCTACTCTGTCACACACACACCCACACATACACAAACACACTCACAGACACTTGCAAACATTAGCTTCCACACTTTAATGCAGCCCACATGCACCCACACACACACGTATGTCCAAACCCAACAACACCGTGTCTCGCTGCCCATTTATCGCTCTGTTTAATGCACTTCAAAGGTATGTGTAACATCCTCCCTCCACTCCTGGCTGCAGGCTCCACCCTCAGCCCTAGAGGACAGGCTGGTTGACCCAGGAGGAGGGGATATCTATGGAGGGAGGCGGAGGAGGGAGGAGGAGGAGGGAGGTGAGGGTAAGAGCAGACGGAGCTCAAATTCATTTCTGCTGCTGCTGTTGGAGGCGCAGCACATTGCAAAGGCATAACATGACTGGCAACGACCCGGGACACACACATGGCTTTCAAATGGATTACTCTCATAAACAGCTGTGAACTACAACACAGCAAGGACAACACAATCAGCAGCCACACTGAGGACTTACACAGATCTTCCAGAACTTCTTTTTTAACACTGACCAAAAAAAGTTTATTGAAGAAACATTGATTTTTTTTTTTACCCCCCCCACCTTAATTCATTCAGGAGTGGATTGAAGATGTGAATATTGTAGGTAATTTTTTTTGTATCACATCTTGCACCAGTGAAGTAGATCACAAGTGGGTAAGTATGTGTTATTCAGTCTGTAGTGATTGATTTGATGACTAATGCTAATCGACATTAAAGGACTATGGTGTCATATTTATACATATGCAGATGTTTCCCATCATAATTCTCCAGTAATTTTCCTGTGATGACAAAAAAAAAAAGAGAATACTTTGCAGCCCAGTGTTCTGCAGGAACTTGAACTTGTTCTCATTGTATTTGCACAAATGTGTTTACCGGCCGATCTAGGTCATCCCTCTGTATGCCCACAGTATCTCATGTATGCACGAGACACAAGTATGTCACTCGGTCTCCGTTTGCGGTATTTGATTACTTCTCATCTTTTTTTTTTTTTCCTCCTTGGTTTTCATCAATTTATGCATTTTTACAGTTAATTGTTTTTCCCAAATCAACTTGCCATAATCATCTTATGTTTCTGAAAAATCTCAAATAAAAGCAGTAGTAGTATTAAATACAAAAAAAAACAAACAAAACATATTATATTTTTTTGTTTGTTTGTTTGAATTAACAGCGCACCTGTTTTGGAAAGTGAACCCATGACTGATCATGCATTTCATGTATTTGCAAATGTGCCACACAGTCCCAATTGTTGGTTAAATGACCTTAAAAAAAACCTTTCTACTTGATCTTTTTATTTCCATTTCTTATGATGAAAAATCACAATCGATTGAATTAATTTTCTAAATAATGGACACATATCTTCTGATGAAGTAACAGTACTTAGAGTATGCTTTTCCTTTTGCCTACCAGTTCTAATTTTAACATATGTAACACGTGTTAACACACAGTATTTCAGGTTCTGTGTTTGATTGGAAGTGTTTTATGACAGAGCCTAATTGAAAAATGCATGTGATCTTCTAAATCTTCCTGTGGATTAAAAAAGCTCAAGAGAACTGCAAGGTTGTTAATGTGATCTGCTCTTGCATGTAATGCTAATGGACTGTAATGGTGACGGCTCCTAATGCTTTGTCCCACAGAGACAAGAGCAAAACACGCCAAGAGAAAAGGACACGCGTGAGAAATCTTACCATGCACTGACAACAAGGTACGGGAGGACACAGGCGCACACATGTATTTATATACTCACCTTGGGTTCCTCTTCTTTTATGTCTCTCTGTGCAAACGTGTGTCCTGCCCATATTTTGAAAGGAAATTCAAAGGTCCTTAGATGACAAAGAGATTTGTTGTCCTGGATGTTCGGTTCACGTCAAGTCTGTGTTTTTCAAAGCTCATTAATTTATGGGCCGACTTTCCCAGCTTCCAAACATTTAATGCTGTCCGTTAAATCAACAAATCCTCATTTGGCAGAAGCCCCCTTTTTTTGTGTGTGATTGAGAGCTCAAAGCTATTTGTATCAGCCAAAGTGCTTGAAAAGGGTTTTCCATCAATCATGTAGGGTTTTTTGTTTGTTTGTCTGTTTTACTACCTGTAACAATCTACTGTGTACGCAAAAATTACTTCCTTGATTGTGGCCCCCGTCAGGAAAAAGCATCATCACTAATGTTATTTCCACAGTCAATTTAGTCTGGTCTCCAACAAAGAATAATTTCATTGAGTTAATTTCATCATGTGGCACAAATCTGACGGCATCAGCATCGACCCTGCAGGCCTTTGTAGCACTGCAGCGTGTTTTCCGTTCTTCAGGGGGGAATCTCGCTGAATTTTATATCAGCCGAATGACGCGAAAAAGGTCATGTTTTGTATAGACCAGCACATGCTTGTTGGCAGTGTGCTAGTTAATGATACATAACAAAAAAAACAGTCTGTGGTCTTATGAACGGGCTTTATCAGTGATGATAAGGGGACTTGGACCTTCCTAAACACCAAACCTCTTGAGTTTTGCCCACTGGCTGGAGTTTTATGGCAATAAAACTCGCCGCCTTTCTTCTGAATACAAAACTTAAGTGGCTCCATGGCACAACACAACTGAAATGTGGGTGAGCAACGGCTGTATCACTGTGTGCAGTGAGGTGTTGGCCCGCATGATTAACATTTAATGGGTTGTTTGGGCGAGACAGCGAAAAGAGCAGGTACTGTTATTGCTCACCTGGGCGGCAGCTTGCAACAGAGAGCAGGACCTGAGTGACACATGCCGAAAGAAAGGAATAAATCATGGATGGAGAGCTGTGAATCTGATTTTTAATGAGTACAGCAGGTGCCCCCCACAAATTGAAAATGCATAAATATATAGAGTATCCACCTGTTTTTGAAAAGACTCATTCAGAAGGTGAATTTATGCTGCATGTGATTGTGTCAGCAGGGATCCAATTTACTGATATGAGGGGCTTAAGGTAGAGAAGCGCCTTCATATCTGCTTCATCATGCAGATGAAATGCCGCACAGTCTAGTTTGTGCAATCACATGACTCATCCAGGCCATTATTGTGCAAGGATCTATTGATTGATATGTAAATAAAGTCTGAGAAAAGCAGCATTGAATACCAAATCTTAAACAGAACGCACGTTGAGATTCAACGCTTGCTTCATGTGTTTAGTTGCAGTCAAACTTAGACGCAGATTGGACTAGATCGTTTTATTCCAGTTTCCTGCTGCCAAAGTCAATTTATAGGCATGCTAATTTAAATCAAGCCAAAATAATAAGCATGTCGGAAGCAGTTTCTGCTGCAGTTCTGGCCCTCGTGACAGGGGACTGGCTAGAGCAGAGAGAGAGAGAAGCGAACAGGGTGGGTGAATGTGAACAGTCAGAGAACATCACAGGTGAGAAGAGACACTGAAAGAGAAGAAGAAGAGCAGATTAAAGGGGGAAATTAGCAGCAGGTTGTTTGAGAAAAGGCCGGACTGCTAATGAGAGAGGTCCTCATTAATCAGACAGGGTCAAATCAGGTCAAAGGAAACTAATCAAGAGACTGACAAGCACAAACAAGACAGGCAGGGAGGTAATGGATCTTTCATTATGTCTGGATTATTGCACCAAGTGCATAAGCACCTGTTTAAATCGCCCCACTGGGTAAAACCTTATTTTAAAGGACATGAGTGCTGGAAAGGGTTTTTTGTGTGTAGTTCAACTTTTCAAGCTCACATTGAATTGATCACATCAGATTGCTGATGAGAATTTGCAAGATATACACTTTACAAGTTAGCACTATATTGATTATTTTTTTCACCTTCAAATTATGTCTTTACAAATATTTGGTACTTCACATATCGTACTTTAGGATCGTTTAAGAGGAGACAAACAAATAGCGTTTGGATCTCGGCATAGCTACAACCTGACGTAGTTTGTCGAAGGGGATGATCAAAACATGTGCAAATGGCAAGAAAGGATGATGTTGAAAGATATAGGTGGTTGGTAGCGATAACATTTTCTTTGCACTTTAACTACCGGTTTCTGTCATCCCCGAGGCCCTGTGAGCCTGAGCCCCTCCGCGTGCGGAAGCAGTATAGGATGGACAGGACGTTAAAACAAATGGCTGCACACCGGTTTGGCTCTGGAGAGCATGGGAGGAATCAGCTTCATCATTAATCAGAGTGAAAGCTTTAAAGTAAAGAGAGGAAGCAATGCGCTGCACTAACTACTAAAAGCAGTGTCCACAGTCTATCCGGCACAGAGAGAGGGAATAATTTGTGCTTTACATTAAGTCACTCAGACAGATGGGAATGACGTGATGTGCTCGGAATACGTTAAAACTGCACCCAGCGCAGCTCTGCAGACATTATTTACCTTCTCTGTGTAGCTGCAGTTCAAGAAATTCCCCCCTCTCCGTTCAGGAAAGATCGAGAAGTTTTGAGCTATGCGAGGGCCTCTGGTAGCTGAACCATTGAGCAATTTGAAGACAATCCATCTTGATTTCTTGGATGCGCAAGCGATGCAAATGAGCCTTGAGCATATTTGGAGAGATACATAGTGTCCTGCAGGAGTTCAGGAAAACAGGGGCTACTTCAGAATTTCTCAGAAAACCCCAGCGAGAAGAATAAAATGCTGAAGACACAACAGATAAGGCACTTAGAGGATTAGTCCTCCTTAACAGTTATTAACCCTTTATAGGACACTCCTTAAAATACTTGGAAAATGAACATTTCAACCCCAGGGTGTTATTAAAGGATATTTCCAGATATTTTTACTTTAAAAAAAATGTTGCAAATCCAGATTAATACAGTTACCATAAATGGAAACGTGCCCGTCTATGGTTTTTAAAAAAAGAGAATTTATAATAAATAAAAGAAAAAGTAACAAACTGCAAAAAACATTTATTTAGAATCATGTTTGTTAGAGGTAATGATTTCTACACAACCAGTAACAAAGCATCTATAAAGTGCTTGGCAAGTTCTTTTATTTTTCTTTAGGTAGTGGTGTTAGTGGCACTAATGTCAAAAAATAAATCAAAGTGGAGTTCAATGCAAACCAGTAACAAAGCATTTATAAAGTGCCGGGAACATTTGTTTAGTGACATCTTTCGTAAGGTAGTGATATTGACACTAACATGAAAACTAAATCAAAGTGCCCATGGTTCTTCAACCTCAAGGAGAGGCTCAGGGTGGACATACTGAACGTCCAAGGAAGTTACCAAATATGGTTACTTGCCCTGTAAATGGTTAAACCTTTTTATTTCTATTCAAATAAAAAGGAGGATGTTAGTTGTACTTTACTTGCAATTTTCTGGATTCCCTTATTTGGCCCCGCAGGTATCGTAGCACCTCCCTGAGACACCTTATCGGCACACAGGCAGACTTGAAACACACTTTGACATCAGAAATGAGTCACATGGGCAAATATACATAATGAGATTATGTAGCGGGTAAAAGAGCCACAGCAGCACAAAGAATCCTCTCATGAATTATGCTGTAATTACAGAGAGGGGCACCGGGCTCCTCACATCCCAACAAAGAGAGGCCAGGAGATTCCTTGATGAAACAAAAGACCTCGCTGTCTGCACCCCTAATTAAAGAGAAATGATAAACACAGCCAAATGACCTTTGGATGGAGTCAATTATTTGAGAGGAATCCCGTAAAGTTGCTAAACCAATGCAGGTTTAGTGGAACTTGTTAAAACTGCATTAGATTTAACCATTTATGGCAGCAGAGATTCACTCGAGCTATCAAGAGCGCCCGTCTGTCTTCTTCTGAGAAATGGTTCCACTTCAGGTTTCTCTTCCTTTCAGCCTCAGCTCAGCCTTCGCGCTGGGCAGAGAAGTCCAGCTGGCCCAGCCTGTCATTCATTAATCTGCATACATTCCTGTGGCAAAGCCAGCATGTTAAGCTCGACTGCATGTTCGGCCGGCGCTATCTCGTGCACACAGCAGCGAGTGCGTTATTACCAGCAAATTGGTCATTAGGTGTCACCGTAATAGTGAGAACAACCTTGTAATGTCTTGTTAGTCACGCTCAGTCGCTCCATACTATTGCTGTAGTTTTCCTCCTATTTTTAGAAATGGAAACTGTCCAAGCCCACATACAACACTTATGTATGTCCAACCACTCCTTTTACATTAGTCATCATAACATTTCAATATGGTGTCAATCAACACACTCTAAAGGCATTCAGTGTTCTTTAGAGCTATATTTGGTCACCTCCTCCTTCCTTATCTTATCATCCTTCTTCTCAAATCTATTGTTTCACCTTTTCTGGCCTGTTTTTTTTTTTATTCTGCACCGCCTCAATCACTCTTCTTTCACCATTCGCCATTTTTCATCACAAACTTCTCCTGCGCCCAGCATCCCACGACTCAGTTTCTTAAATTGTCATCTCATTCCTCTCATCTTGCCGTTTCTTTTTTGGCCATTTATTTATAAGCAAAGAAAAATAAACGTAAAATTTAATGAGATCAAGATAGCGAGAGAGTGTGACTAGGGGGGTAAGAGAAAAGAATGCCTGGATGTTTGAGGGAAATGCGGCGAGAGGGGAACAAAAACAGTGGAAAACAGGAATGTATGGGGGTAAGTATGGGATGAGAGCGATTACGAGAGCGGAGGTGAAGGAATAAGAATGGTGGGATAGGAGGGAAAAGCTGTCAAATCAACCTTGAGAAAGTATGAGAAAGAAAATAAACCGGAATGGACTTGCGTCAGAATAATGGGAAGCTTTGAGAAACGGACAAACAGACAGGCTGAGGACTTATTAAAAAATTGAAGACAGCAGCAAAAACCCAACAATTTTCACATGGCAAAAACGTTTGGTACAGAGTCTGGCTTTCATTACTTTCAATCAAGTTTCATGAAGTTGCACAAGAGAAGCTATTTGTAGTTAGGGATGCACCAATAACAATGAGTCCCTGTTTTTAATCCCAGCATCAACATCTATCTTAAATAAAAGACCCGAGTGTTTTTGCTTTCGAGTCTCTGAGCTACAATAAAGGAAATCATTAAGGGCAAAATTACTCAGCTGACGACAAGAGCGTTTAAGGGAAATTAAATTATGGGGTCAGACATGATACTGCTCCTGTGATCATTGAGAGCAAGTGAACTATTGTGAATAAAACATCAGCAGTTGATAAAACCAGTCTTATGATCCAACACCACTTTTTGGAAAAATCTTCACAAACCACAAACACGCCATTAACACTTTGCTGCTCTTTCAGGAATGGAAAGCATCAGCGTGGAAACGGACTGGGATGGGTTAGGCCTCTCCTCCTCTCTGGGCGTCGGCGGAAGGAGCAACTTCTCTTCCTCGTTCGTGTCTGAGCTGAACACGTTCAATACTTCTCACAGCGGGGGATCCCTCTTTGGACTCTTCCCCGAGAATGGCTCCAGCACCACGCCTCGCACCCTTCCCCAGCCCAGGGTGAGGGACCTGGGCCTGGCCCGGGCCGAGATCGCGGTGCTCGGGTTGGTGCTGGCTCTGACCACCCTGGGGAACAGTTTTGTGTTGTGGGTGCTGCTGAGGAGACGGAAGCACAATGCACCGATGCACATATTCATGGTGAACCTGTGCGTGGCCGACCTGGTGGTGGCCCTCTTTCAGGTCAGTTTGTGGGTTCATGTGAGGCAAGAATCTGATTATTGTTGTTATTCAGCCAAAAAGACAGAGAGATAAATCTGTGCACAGGCCATGCTTGTTGATTAACTGAGATATTGAACATCACCAGAGCTGTTCTTTGCCATTTCTCTTCTACATTTCTACACAAAAATGCCCCAATGTGTTATGATCCACTTTTCTAATAAAGATTGCTTGTTTGTTTCCTTAAAATCTCTGCATCCAGGTTCTTCCTCAGCTCATATGGGACATAACAGAAAGATTTCAGGGCCCTGACTTGCTCTGCCGGTCCATCAAGTACTTGCAGATTGTGGGCATGTTTGCTTCCTCCTACATGATAGTTGCTATGACGGTAGACCGGCACCATGCCATCTGCTGCCCACTGCAGGCCTACCGTGGGGGAGTGATGTCCCGCTGGAACACCCCTGTCATGGTAGCTTGGGGGCTGGCATTGGTCCTCAGCATACCGCAGGTAGGGAGGCGTGAACAAAAAAAATAAAATAAAATTCCCACACAAGAAACACGTGGTGAAATAGGAAATGAAGACTCAGCATGCGTTCACGCCCTGATTTCTACAGTACGAATCAAGATCTTGGTCTATTTTTAGCCAGCAGTTCAGCTAATGGAGAGTGATAATGACTTCACGCTGTGTCTGCGTGTGCGCTGACCACCTGTCTTTTGATTCGTCCGGCAGGTATTCATCTTCTCTCGCTCAGAAGTGGCTCCTGGAGAGTTCGAGTGCTGGGGTCACTTTGCCGAGCCGTGGGGGCTGAAGGCCTACGTCACCTGGATGACGGTGGCTGTCTTCCTCCTGCCCGCGCTCATCATCACCATCTGTCAGGTAATACTGGTTGCACTGGCTGCGACTCAGCACTGTCTACAAAGACTATTGACCTGAGGATTACATGCTCAAGGAAACACTATCCAATAATGAAGCATGTGGCATGAATGAAATGCCGCTTTGTTTTCGCGAAGGGTGCAGTTGGCAGGCATTGTTCAATAACCCGTGGGGGACTGCGGTCGGTGTTGTGTAGCATCCCATGGTGGATCGGCATTCTGGGCTGCCTCCCATCAGTCCTGCTCTATTTAGGGAAAGATATTTCTAGGGTCCAGCTATTTCCGCTAATTAACACAGCACTTGGAGGTCCACCGCTGAGATGGCCGCCTTCTCTGAGAACCTCCTGCCAGGAAGTGGAATGTACCAGATGTGTGCCAAACACAGAACCCCTGACCCTTTTTCAATATCTGGTTTTTGTATCGAGAGGCACATTTTGACACTTTTTGAGAGAGAGGAATGATGTTGTTTCTGCTGGAGGCTAGAGTCAGATGATCACATCCCATATATTGTATTCGTATCTGAATGAAACTGTGTACTAGACTGTAGTGTCTGATTAAATTGTGCCCCAAAGCTTTTCTTTTTTTTTTTGAGTCGAGCATGGCAGAGGAGCAACAGTTGAGAGTACCAAACCTTAAAATCATGACAAATAAAATGAAAATAGCTACAAGCATGAATCAGTTATTATTGCTAGATGTCAAGTTATTGTTTTACTCGCTCAGGAGAGCAATGTGAATCATTTTACTGTCATAAAATTTTATACTTTCTATTTTCATACAGAGAGAAGGAATAGCGGTGTTTAATAATGCTACATAAAAATGTCTAACCCTGGTTTATAGCTGATAGTTAAGACCAACGCACACTCTCTCTCTCTCATTTCAAATTTCCCATAAACATTAAATAGAACTGCAAACCAGACCACTTGCAGCAGAGACAAATATCTGAATCTGGCGCTTGTCTGATACCAAATTTAATCTCCATGATAGATCGTCTTGTTTCTTATATTTTGAAAATGTGCCAATTTTTAAAAAAATATTCACATTTTTCAGATAAGAATCTTCCGCGAGATTCACAACAACATCTACCTGAAGTCAGAGAGGATGGTGATGGCGGAACTCAAGAAGAGCGAAATCTTCTTTCGCTTCCACAGCTTCAGGAAGGAGGACGAGCGGGCCAGGGAACGGGGGAGACGGGCGTCCGGGGGAGGGGGCAGGGACGGGAGAGGAGGGCAACTCCTGAAGGGTGCAAATAACAGCCCCCACAATAACACCCATAACAGCCAAGTGGGAGAGTGTTATGACTATGTGCCCTCTGCTATTCAATACAACAGTTGCCACAGTGAACATGTGGCAGCAACAACAGCAGCAGCATCACCGACACACCAACAAACCCTCAACAGTTCAACAGAGTGCCAGGAGTCCTACAGTAACTCTCCCCGCTGCTCGCTCGATTACGCCCCCCCTCCCCCTCCAGCCACCCCCCCTCCGAGCATCACTAAAGCCATGGCCAAGACAGTGAGGATGACCCTGGTCATTGTGTTGGTCTACACGATCTGCTGGTCACCGTTCTTCATCGTCCAGCTGTGGGCTGCCTGGGACCCCAACCCTCCAGACCAAGGTCAGTCACAAACGTTCTGTATGCGACACTGCAGCATCCATCTATGTGTGCAATCCACTATCGACAAGCAACACAAACGAACACTTGTGTTAGGGGGATTTCAGGTGAGTCATTAGTGTTGTTTTTCCCAGATGGATTGACCCTCCTCAGCCCAGTTAATCCATTTAATTGCCTTAAATGTGCGAACCATCATTTTTGTACTCCAGGCTGCCAAAAGATAAACGGCTGGGTCTGCTTTATAACAAAATCCTCTGATCAGTGCTGTTGTTCATCTTAGTAAATCTTAGCAGTCTTATTCATTATTCCAAGGACAAGTTCCAGCTCAGATGGGGTAACAGTGAGTGAAATACAAGGTCAGAAACAATGTTTGTTTTGACCCACGACCAGGAGTCCCTGGATGACATCCCTGGCCTCTGACATTCTGGCACAAAAAACACATCTCCTGATGTCTTTACTGGCAGCCAGTGATGAGGCAAGCAAGGAAAGACTAACGTAGCCTTAAGTCGTGGCCGATACGATGGACTGAGTGGGTGTCCTCTGATCTGCAGCTAAAGACAAACATCAGAGGCCGATAAATAACCTGTTTATATCCCCTGCTGATTTTGTAACACTTCCAGATGTTGACATTTCATCAACAATGATACGTGCCAGCAGCCTGCACACACCACATATCATCTAAATCACAAGCAGACACATGGCACAAGGCACATAAACGTGCACACACACCCACACACACAGACATATACATGCACACATACACAAAGGGCTCTCACATGCAGCTACAAGTGTGCATACACATAAATGAGTGCTCACTGGCAGGCAGTTCACACACACACACACACATGCATGCACACACACACATATACAGCTGATCATTATCAGCTTTGTATTCTAAAATCAGTTTGTCTAATCTATTGCCCTCAACTGGCTGCAGGGAAATAAGCATGTTTTAGTTATGACATGTATTATTACAAGTATAAAAACAAAGACAGATGACGGAAGTGTGTAAGGCTTTTGCCTCTCTGGGATATTTATAATTCTTTTGCTTTTCCTGAAGGAAATAATATGAAAAACAATAATCATGAATGCTTTATTTTCAAACTAAATTGTTGTACATATTTATGGATGTTTCCTAAGAGAGGAGAGAACAATGTGAAGCACACTGTGATCTGTCCTTGGTTTGTCTTCAGTTTCACAGACAGTATATGTAAAAAAATCCACATTTTCATTCTTATATTGTACCTATCTCTGAATATGAATGTGTTTACATCTTTTTCTGCGTCCGCTGCAGGAGTGGCCTTCACTATCCTGATGCTGCTGGCCAGTCTGAACTCGTGCACTAACCCGTGGATCTACACAGCTTTCTCCAGCAGCGTTTCCAGAGAGCTGCAGAACCTGCTACACTGCCAGTCGCGACCCAGCCGCCGGGGGTCCCTGCCCGACGACTCCACCACTACACACACCTCAACCACCAAGGACAGCCTGTACTGACAGAGGCTGATGAGACAGAAACAGACACACAGAGACGTGCTTGAAAACACACGCATGAGTGCACATGCGCCCGTTGCAAGGATGTGCTGTTGCACACAGCTGCAGCATCGCTGCCTGAGAACAGCCAGCACTGACCTCTGCCAGATGTTTTCCATGACAAAGGACAGCTGTACTGTCAGCAGGACCTCAGTCTGTAATCACCTGTCCTCTCCACCTCAGCAGTAAGGAAGGATGTCACTGAACCTGTCAACACCACATACAGCCTCTCAGATCATCCGCAATGCAAAATGACATGAAAAGTAAAGAGTAAAGAGAGTAGATTTTCTCTTCAGTAGCTGTTGAGTAGGAACTTGCGCAGTTATTCACGTGAAAAAAAAAACTCCTGCCTTGCTCAGACATAGCAGAGCAAAAGGAATGCAAGGATTGTTGCATTAATGGCCTTATGGCACGCCTGATGTACAAAGCAGCAGACAAAGCTATGGGTGTGGAGAAAACTAAGCAGCAGGATAAGTGAAGAGGGAAAGAATCACATGCAGACAGCATGAGGGAGTGAAACTGCTGCTGGGCTGGAAAGAGACAGAGGATGTGAGGGATGTTACAGCTGCTGGAACGGTCCTGAGAAGGCTGTAGTTGAAATCTAATAATGTGAACAAACTTTGTTATATCAAAGAAAGTGAATTAGAGACGGATGCTTGAGGCTGAATATATATCCACTCAGGAGAAATTCAGTCCCGAGGAGCAACAGCGATGTATTAGAAAGACGGACAGATTCACTCAGGAGGACGGTGCAGTTGGGTCAAGACTCTGCCCCGAGAGGACCTGGAAAAATGTGGATTAACAGACGGAAAAAGACTCTCACAACACTCACAAACAAACAAGAGTGACAGTTAGTGCCTGGAAGAATACAAATGAACAACCCGGGTTTCCACAACCAACTGGGACACAATTATGTGATTGTATTTTGTACAAACACAGCATATGAGGTACAAAAAATGACCTTCCGTCATGCTCTCCGGAGAGAGAACATTATTCAGAAGACATGGGAAGGAAACAAATGAGAAACATTCAACAACTACATTCCATGTACAGTGATGAACAATGTAAAGTATATTTATTGAAAATGTAAGGCACATTATTGTGTAAGATAAAAGTGGATGTAAAGCTGTAGTGGTCCAAGGTATGTAGTAGAAAACAAGGAGATATCGAACCAAAGATTACTTTTTTAAAACTTGACTTTACAGGTCTTAACAGTGAAGATGTTACGAAGCTTCACCAGGAAAAAACAGACAAGAGAAACCACATTATTTTAGCTGCAAACCTATTAAAAAAAAGACTTTACATCAACAGTGAAAATACTCCAAGTCAAAACTAAGTGCCTGCGATGTCAGTAGACATTTTTAGAGGGGCCTCCCTCACTGGTTTAATCCTCAATGATGTCAGCCGTGTTATTCTTAGAGCTACCGCCACAGCAGGGATCATAGGATGTGTTATATCACACCATGTGTTCACTTCTCCTTTTATTTATTGTTGTATAAATGAAAACAAACACAGACATATACATATATATACATATTTCAATTCCTGTTACTGCCTTTCAGGTGTAGCTTTTATATAGAACTTTCTCCATGTAAACAGTAATGTATTATGCCCCTCAACTGCATGACAGACTTCCAATAATAATCTTAAGACTTTTTTAAATAAATATAAAAGCATAATTATATAAGCTACTGTACATGCAGTAGATGTGATAACGCTATGTGTATAAAATATGATTAGAATTCACCGTATTTGGTCAAACTATCTATTTCAGATTAGATGTTCCTGAGCTTTTTTCAATGCTGTTCACACACAGTGAGTCAGTTCAGCAGACATCCTTTTCATGAGAAAACAGTGTTATGTGAGTCTGCGGGACAATGCTGGGATGCTTTCAAGGTGTCTCTGGAGTACTTGTCTGGGGTCGAAGGAGAAGCCTCACCTTTTCCTCTGTGCGGTGTGGTGTTTGGGTTTTCAGCACGCCACCGTGCATTTGCTCCCCAGACACAAGGCTCCCCTTTGATCTTCGGCCAGAACTAAAGGCTACAGCAACACTGTCCCGCGTCTCACTTTGTTATATCAGGAAATAGATGAGCTTCTCCCAAACCTTTAGGGTGTTCATGTATTTTTCCTCTTCCTGTCAGGAAGTTGAGAGGTCAGAGGATGATTCTTCTCTGATGACTGGGCCAGACTTCCGAATGAGGCCAAACGCTTCAACTGTTTTCCGCAGCCATTAGTGAGCATTAACATGCCTAAATAATGAATGTCGACGAGAATTTCCTGGAACAAACACCACTAAATATCTACTAAAAATACACCATTGCAGAGAATTACCCCCATGACCGCATATGTTGTTTCCTGAGGATGAAAGACTGACAGTGGTTGTTATCACCGCAACCGTCATCATCCCTCCCCTGTCGCAGCGTATGATATATGACCATAGGGTAGGTCGTTGCTTTTTTGTAATCTTGCAGCGTGTGTGGGTGTGTTTATGCTGAATGTCCTAATGCTCATGGTTTCCATACTGAAGCACGTCGACACTCAAGGTCACTCCTTCATTACAGCATCGTGGCATTTCTTGCCAGGCTCGCGGCTGCGCTGGGGTGTAAAGGAAGTAAATGATCCCTCAGTGTGGCTGTCACAAGGGCAAGACAGCTTCCCTCTTCAGATCAGTTTGAGGTCAGTGACGGAGTGCAACCTGTGATACTAAAGAATGACAGAGCTCCCCAGCCTTGACCACAGTCAGAATAAATCAGACCTGGAGCCAGGAGCTTTACTGTACTGAGCAATGTGTCTGCATTGCTTAACCCAAGACCCCTCCACAGACCTGATGACTCCTGAGCCTGCTACTAAGCTCATTCCAAGACACCGGGAGGTACATGTAGCCCCGGACCGACTTACACAACACAACTCCAGTGTCTGTGTTTGGAGAATCTTAACTTATAAGAAAAGAAAGCTGACCGATTTAGCTTCGCACAAATCTCTTTTTTTTTTTTGTTTCACTTTTCTCGCCCTTAAATTTGACCGTTTTTATACCCTTTTCATATCAAAGCAGCTGGAAAATTAGTGGGGGCACTTGTTGCACACAAGACTTTCATGTGACATCTGCATCCATCGCTTTAACTTACAAAACACAGCTTGACTGCTGCCGCTGCGTTCAAGGTGATTTTTTGCTAAATATAGCCACACATTTATTTTATTGCCACTAATTATGATTCCACGCAAACCTCAGCTCATACTTTGCAGAATACAAAGTCTTTATTGATTGAAAGGAGGTTAATTCTCTGAGAGGCAAGAGGATCAAGGATATGCTTTTATCACTTTCACCCACCTTGTTTTCATTACTTAAAGCGTGGTTGCGTTTACACCTCGATGAGATCCTGCAGTTTTTTCTCTCCCCCTTCATAGTAAAAACAGGCATGTGGACAGTGTCTGATAAAAACAAATTTTATGGGAGCTCATTCAGCATGCTTTCACAGGATTTATGCGCTAAGAAAAAAGGTTTGCTGTGATGTGTCTGCTCCTGTTTAACCTACAGTATTTCATGGCTCCGGGCCAGCTATAAGCAGAAAATGAAAAAGATGCTCCACACCGGCGGCTGACTTTCCAAATGTGGAGAGAATGTCTTATATGATGGAGAAAAAGAGAGAATTTTCCCCATATATGGTTGGTTCTAAACTGGCAATTGCAATGACACGCAAAGCGGATTAGAGGATGCCCAAACAGGACAGGAAGAGGGAGATAACAAGAGAGGGGAGCACAAAAGCTTGGAAGTGACTGTGAGTTTATGCACTCCAACACAAACTGTTTTGGTTGAAGCGGCGATACATCTAACACGCCTCCCTGTACGTACACGTCCACCAAACCGCCAGAACAATGACTGTTATGGTAGTGAAGGAAGGGGGAGATACCATCTGCTGTCTGATTATTGAATTAGTTTGCAGTTTGTTGACCTTGTTCTGCATTGCAAAAAAAAAAACAAAAAAAAAAACAAGTGGGTAGTATGAACAGCAAAAACTATTTTTATGGCACAGACAGAAAAGTGTGACTTCATGTGAGAATCATCTGTGCGACGCCAGTTTCCACATTGCTGAATCCCACTAAGCCCATCGGTGTCTGCCCCTGGAGCTGGTGTTTTACACACCTCTGTCAAAGCCGCTTTTTTCTGACTCACAGCACACACACACACACACACACACACTCAGATTCTTACAATAACTCTCAGTTTGCAGTAAAATGTAATATTAATAACAAAGATACTGGTAATAACAATGACATATATGCAGTACCTTTTTAAACAAGCTATGTTTTGCATCAGTAAATTAGGATTCAAACCCTGTATTGTGTAATCATACGAACAGAAATGTGATTCTGTTTACATGACCTTGTATATTAACATCTAAAACAGAAAATATAAAGATGAATAATTTACCGCTGACAGACGAACTTGTGACTTCATTCATCTGAAATGACAGTGACTATCTCAAATGCATTTCCTTCTCCATCCACAGCTATGAACACTGAGGCTTGGGTCATAGTCATACACTTTGAACTGATCACAAAGGGAAGGAAAAAGCCATGTCTTAACGTCAGCTCAGTGGCCCTGTTTGGCTGTTTATTTGTTCATTCCATTTATATCCCCCCGCATCCAGCCGTCACATCACTTCCCACAGTCTAATAGGTGACCCTGTGAAACAGCGTCTGGATTCATGCCAGCTCATGTCTTCCTTGAGTTAACAGCATTGTGATGTCTCTATTGTCTCCTTGCACAGGTGCCAGAAGCCTGAAGCTGTGATGTGATTGCACCATGAGAGAGAGAGTGTGTGTTACATAGCTACCTTTAGCGGACCAGGTTGAGTTTTACACCAACATTTTTTGCAAGTTAGGACACTTTGGCTGCACCTCACTTTCTTGAATCCCTACAAAGGGCTGGCTGAAGGTTAAGGCTTGGTTTAAAGTTGGAATCAGGATTCGGTTTGGGTGGGGGTTCAGGTTAGACCGGGGCTGAGGAATGCATTATGCCAGTGAAAGTCCTCACAAAAATAATCTTACAAACACTTGTGTGCATGTGTGATAACAAAGCCACAGAAAAGAAGATGTGAGAAACTTGTGCAGCACACAGTGTTTATGTGGGCAGATCATGTTACTCATGCACAAAGTTTACATTAGTCTCAAGGGACTGACTGAGGAGTTGCAGTTGCGCTGCACGTTAAAAAAGCCGCCCCGTATGTGCCGCTCGGTGAGTGCAAACACCGATTTGGGACATGGACAGAAATAGACATGCTAAGTTTAAATCTCTCCAACAAACTAGATCAGCAGAAGTTTGCTCTAAGTACCTGTCAATGTGACAAACCAGAGTGAAGTGGATGTAAAGCAGAACAAGGGCTCAAAGTGCAATGTGTTGCATTAGCAGCAGCTTATAATGTGCCAGAAGAAAAAATAAATCACGTGTAATCTGTCCATGAGGGCGTATCTGGACTCATTGCTGCTCCAACGGAGACGTAAAAAGCAGCACAGAGCTGCCACAGTGTGTTCAACTGGTGGCACTGCACTACAGGTAGACCCAAAGAAACAATTCCAGTGTCGGCCGAAATAACATCGAGAACACGTTTACTGATGGTGTAGACCGAGAGGAAACAGGACATGAGTTGCTGGCTTTCTGCTGCATTTAAACACACATCTCTCCTTGACTATCTCAGAACATCAGTGGGACAGCCTGCCTCGTGTTTGCTGACAAAAATAACCATCATGTCCGGTGAGATTTCCGCCACATCCTCCAAGCTGAAAATGAATCAGCAGGCAACAACTAAATGATTCTTCGTGGTTTTCTTAACTAAAAATCTTAATAAATAAATCCTTTGATAAAACTTAACACATTAGTTATGCATCTTCAGGGGAATACTTAGATATCAATTTATCAAAGCAGATTGGATGCAGCTGTGGCTCTGAAGAATTTTCATCCCTCAAGGCAAGAAGTGTGTGAAAGAGAAATCTGTTCGGATCTGGTTATCACTCGATTTAGAGGAGTTTGTTGGACTGCTAGATAAACTAGACATTGTGTAACTCGTGCAAATAAATTAAAAAAAAAAATTCGATTAAATGTGTTGCCACAGAAGAAGAAACAAATCTTTCAGTTTGTCTTGGATAAAAGGGAATTTTTAGAAGAGCACACTCACTGTGCTATCACATGAACCGACACACTAAACTGGAAGAAAAACAAGCCATTTATTCATTTTCCTGGGACAGACATATCCACTCGGCCTGTTCAGGCCGGCCAGTGCAGTTACATTATTGGCATTTCATATGCATGGAAGGCTTGACCTTTCTCTGTTGGTGTTCAGAAGAGAGTCCCACTCTGACCAGCGAGTCCACATAGAAGGAACAACCTGGTCTGGATGTACAAACAACTTTTAGGCAGGACTGACCACAGTATATGAGCTATATTGGTGTTCCATAATTGATAAATCCAGGTATATTGGTCTTGTATTCAAAAAAACATTTTACAAAATTCCATTCATAGTGACTGGACAAACTCAATACAGAATTCATCTGTAAATTGATAAGACTGATCGCACACAGACACAGTCTGAATAAAAAATACAAAGACTGCTACTTCTGCTCCTTGTGCCAAAGCAGATCAAGTAGGAAAATCGTGTTTTTTCGCCACAAAACCAGATGATGAACTGTTGGTCAAACGCCACCAGAATTCAGTCTTTAATGATCCAGTGGTTAAAAAGTGATTGTGGATCTGTTTATGCTTGGATGGTGCTCTTGGCGCTGAATGCCATGTAGTAGACCAGGATACCAATTAGTGCAGCCACCACCTCAGTGGACACCCACGGTCCGCTCCATGCACCCTGTAGTGACAGATTATAATAAAAGAGATCAGAGGTTTACAGAAAAGGGAAGGGAACAGATGATAATCAACCATACATTTCAGTTTTGCTTGATTGAATGCAGCAGGGGTGACTGCTCAGTTACTAATCAAATTTTAAAGGTATAATGTTATTCCTGAATAAAAATACCATTAATTCACTTAAAAAAAAAAAAAAAAAAAACTAAATAGGCAATCGTAGGATTTCCCAATATGTCGTCAAAGAGGACCTTTTAATAAGAGAAAACAGACAAAAAATGTTTGTTTTTTTTAAAACCATACTACAAACAAACACTCCTGTGCAAAGCTGAATCATTGAGTCTTTGTTGGTTTCATAAAAATCTTTTTTTTATGATTGTAGTAATTCCAGGCATCAATCAGGCACTTTCCCTTATTCCAGTGAAATACTAAAGGCTGCTGCTGCTAACGCCCTTGCAGCTGTTGATGCCTTCTTTACTGTTTATGGTATGGATCAAACTAGGATTGTTCTCTACATGTTGTCATCATTACCACAGTTACACATAATTTGCACTGAAGTGAGAAAACCTAGAAAAAAATATCTGTCTATGTGGGCTGTGACTGATAAAATCAGACCTTCTAGCTTGCTGTTTGATGTTTTGTTCACACTTTTTGTGGGTGATAAATTAACCTTAGTCAGCAACATATTTTTGGAGACTCTGGGCAGCAGAATCGTTTTAAACACAGTACTAACATATTATCACTTTTAAGTGGGAGAACCTTTTTTTGCAAACTGTTGGCCATTTACACATCCAGTACTTGAAGTCCAAAATGTATTAATCCTTGGTACTTATTGAGTCTCGACTGATTCCTGAGCAACATATTGGGCTCTTTAGGTGCTAAACAGGTAGATAGTGTACATTGGGTTTTTAGTGTTGTGTTTTTTTGGGGGTTTTTTTGCAGAAAACAGCAGCCTACTCAAAAAAGCCATAACCAAAATAGTACAGCTGCTGGCTGGAAAGTCTAAAAAGTCTAACAAGACGAGGTAATTGCAGACTCAGGCGGCTGTAACACCTTTCACAAACACACCAAGTAGCCATCTGATTCATTTTTAGTTAAAAATAATGACTTTGCTGCTATAATGAAACGTTCTTGTTCTCAGACTGAGGTTTTATATGAGACTCACTCTGTGGTCAATGTTGACAGAGAAGAGAGGCTGGATGGCATTTACATCTTCATTGTTTCTCTGGGCCTGAAACAGACGAGATGCACACACAGAATTAAAAGACAGAACATTGCAAAGTAAGTGAATCTCACAGGCAGTAAACTTTGAGCTGATCAGCTACGCAAGAAACACTGACCTTGCGCAAGGCACTGTAGGACTCCTCATCAAAGAATTTGACCTGGTATGTTCCAGAGCTGGCCTGTTTGTGAGGAAGACTCCATGACACCTGACAGAAAAAAGGTTCATTAAAGCACGCACTACAAGATTAAAAAACAGTTTAAACGTACCAGCATTCTTGTGCAATACGACTTATTGTTACTCGTTCATCTATTATTTTATGACACAAATTTTACACAAATGCAATATCTTTCACAAGTGCTTTTTTTTTTCTCTTTACATTTCCTTTACACATATGCTGGAAATTACATTTGGAACTGTTTTGAATGAGTGAGTATGATAAATCTGTATACCTAAGCTCTATTTTAAGGTGGTGCACTGAAATTTTGTTGTGTATCTTGACCCAATGGCAATGAAGGGATCTTGAATCTCGATCGTTTCCCTTAAATTCAAAGATTTCTGTCCAAACTTTCAGGCCACAGTTATATGTTGCTGCTGAGAAATGGGTGAAGGGGCATGCCAGAAACAAAAAAAGTTTCTCTAACACTTCTCTAAATAATGCTGTGAGGCACAAGTGTTTCTAGGTGTTCCACATCTGCTAATAAGTTGAAAATAACAGGTGAATAAGTAATTATAACAACGGCTTTCTTTATATGACTAACAATTAATAAGGAACTACTTTGTCTGTTGTAGTTAAGAAGTTCATGGTGGTCTGATATTTGCAGGTACAAAACACTCTTCATTGCTATATGCTCAACTTTGTACATTTGTCATTATCTTGTGTGACCTTGTACCTGTGAGTGCACACATTCGAAACAGTGAAAACAAGAGCCTTAGTGAGTAGCTCCATATGAACCCATACCTGGTACTTGCCAACATCCTGGCCTCGGGTCACAGGGAACTGTCTTCCATTGACATCAGCGTAGAGAGTCACACTCTGGAGAGGACAGAAATGACCATCAGTGAGTGAAGCAGCACCATCATGTTGTCTGTGTGAAGTGTGGGAGGTGGACAGTTACCTGAGCTCCGTTGGCACAGGTCAGGCTGAGTTCAACGATGAAGACAGACTCGGAGGAGATGACGGCGTCGGAGGTGGTGTAGGCCGACGGAGTGATGACTGGGTCTGTGCAGCTCTCTCCTGTCATCACAGAGTGCACAGCTGGCGTTAGTTAAAACTCCTGGACACCAGTGCATCACCTGCACACTGTTAATACATGCTACACATTTCAACAAAGCTTATACATGCCGCCTTACTTAAGCCAGGTGGATGAATGGGAGTGATTAGATGGACTAGCTACTAGCTAACACTGGTTAGCTTTGCCAGGCTAATTAAACCGGTTAATAACTTCCACCGTTTCTCCGCTGACTTACCCGAGCAGACGGCCACCAGCAGGGCGAGGAATGCGGCTATCCTGATCATCATGGTGTCTGAAACGTTGTCTGAGAGGTTTCGTGTTGTTCCTGAGGTTCAATTGCTGAACTGCTCGGCTCCTTTCACTGTAACAGAAGGGAAGAAGTCCACCTCAGCTCACCGCAGCGACGCTTCTGCGCCTGCGCTGCAATGACGTGGACCGTAGCGCCGCATAGCACCCTGGGAAACTACTATGTCGACACGTCATCTGAACCAAAACAGAAGGTGGCCTGAAAAGACACACACACACACGCAAAAGAAAGAAAAGAAGGACAAAAGAGAAAATTCTAAATGTCTTTTAGATTTTAATGGTTTAATAAATAAATTAATTGTAGATCTTCAGTGGTAATTATTTTTTTATTTAGATTTTTTCCATTAAGAAAAAATATAAACACACTGTACAAATGATTTTCTTCTCTGACTTAAATGAAATAGGAATACATCCCATTTCTAATGTTATGGTTAATTTTTTGGGGTCTTTTTTTGCCAATTGTCACAAAAACTTTTTTAGTTGTTCAACTGGTGACAGCCTCGACAATTGGCCATCAACTACTTTAAAATGCAACTTTATTCAAATGACACAATGCCACAGCTAACAAGAGCAAGATGAGAAGGAACTGTTGGTACGCTGGAAGGTTCTGGTATTGTATCAGTCACTGTGAAGTGAAAGTGAAGTAAAGTTGTCTTTAGGTTGCTTTGTACTGCTGTGGACGGCTTGTGAAAGGGGTCTATTTGTTCTTTTTTATAGTACTATTTGCTTTTTGTTGTTTATGAGATGCTATTTGCAAGCTAATTTTATACTTCTGTTGCCATAATAAATATATTTCTGAAAGACAGTTTGTATATTTAAGTATGTATTTCTACAAAAATCCTATTTGAACATCATGGATTCTGTCCTATAGGTGTTTAGCCTTGCACAGATACTATAGGGGTCATTGGTGCTTGACCATAGACTTTACATGTGTTTTGCAGACTTGTTGAAAGCTTACAATCAGTGGCGGCTGGTTAATACAGGGCGCTGGGGGGTCGCCCACCCTTCCACCACCCCACTAGTAATGAACAGATAAAAAGTAGTTCCCAAACGTAAAATTACATTTGAATTAATTGTAACCAAATAATAATAAAATTAATAATAATGTTAATATTATTTAGCTATATTAACAATATTTGTATTATTAACAGATTTAATATTAGTCTTTACTGTGTGTTTTCTAGTTTTACACTTCCTGGATGCGGGACGCCGGCCACATGAGTGTGTATGGAGCTCGAAAAACTTATCGTGATCATGTGACCTTGGTCTGGGCTCAGATTGGCAGCTGCAGACTTTCTGACGGGGCGCAACTCAGTGAGTCCCGGACCGTCCGCTTTTGCTGTAAGCCAATTAATTTTGTCTTTATTTGCTTTTGTCTTCTGTGGTTGGATATCAAAACTGTCCTTCGACGTTCTTACGACTGCGCTTTCGGACCCCGTCACACGGCCTTTCCCTCCTCTTCCACTAGATGACAGCTACTGGAGCCTATCCCAGCCGACTTAGGGCGAAGGCAGGGGACACCTTGGACAGGTCGCCTCTCTAACTTCCTCTCTTCAATTAAATTCAATTTATTTGTATAGCGTAGTTTACAACACACGTTATCGCACAGCGCTTAGCAAAGTAAGGTATAGACCTTACAAATTTAAACAGAGAACCCAACAATCCAAAGTAGCATTTGTACTTCCTCTGAGCAAGCGCTTGGCAACGGTGGGAAGGAACCAGCAGCTGGAGGTCAGGGACGTGAAGTTCCGGATCCAGAGGCGTCCGCAGGGAGCACATCTCTTTGCAGATGATGTGATTCTGTTCGACTGTGCACAGCATGCGGTGCAGCGTTTTGTAGTTGATGTGAAACAGCTGAAATTAAGTGTCAGCCACCACCAAGGCCAAGGTTTTCTGTTGGAAAATAGTGAATTACTCCCCCCGGGTTTCTGAGTAAGTTGCTGCCTAAGTGAAGGAGTTCAAGTATCTCAGGGTCTTGTTCACAGTGTGGGTAAAATGGAGTGAGAGACTGACAGATTGGTGAAGCATCAACAGTAATGTTGGCACTGTGATGAAATATGGTTCAGGCATCTGAGGGACCGTCAGCTTTCCCTAGCTGGTAGGAAACCCTGTGATTGATTTTTGAGAACACTGGGAAAAATAAATGTCTCATCTGGCCTGGGAATATGCTTCAGGATCCCCCAGGAAGAGCTGGAACATGTTTTTGGGGAAGGAGTCATCTGAACAACCATGCCCCTGCCTGAACATGACAAAATTCTAAAATAACCAAGGCTTACCAGAAGAAATGCAAGTTATACTTTGTTTTTCAAGCCCTTATATCCAAAATTCATGATTTTTTCCAAAAGCAATGAGAACAGACCAATTATTTATTTGTTATGTATTCTACACACAAACCATAAAATTTTGAAACAAGTTAGAAATATTTCATTATATACAAATTCCTTACAGCTACAGTATTCACAGTTTCATTTATCAACTTTGTAACGCCATCTCTTTTTGAGAGACATTTGAACATGTAGAGGTGTGTATGTGGACTAAAAATCACCGATAAAATCTGACTTTAACTAGAAACAGTTGAATGGTAACACCTACACCGATGCAGAAATAAAGCTGCACAACCGCATGCAGCTTTACCCAAATAAATCTGTGCATTTCAAGTAATTCAGTTTCTATATTGAACTGCAGGTCTGCAGTCACGAATGGGATTTGCCGTACAAAACATGAATGAAAAAGCTCTGTAGTCGGGTGCCACCCTGTGGAGAGAAGCCTAAACCGAACGCAGGCACCTCAGAGAAGGGATTATGGGTCAGTGATCTGACTTTTCTAGAAATAGATGTGCTGAAAGCTGCAGTCAGAGCCCTTCAAGCCACACTTCAGTTTTCATTAACATCATCTCTTTCTGCTGCTTTGAAGAGACCTGCTCCTTTCCCCCTGCGTCCATCACCACGCCTGCCTTTCTTTTGGGGAGCTTGGGCAGAGGAGGAGGAGACATTGGAGGAGGGATCCTGCAGTGTTTGCCGCGAAATAAGCTCCTTGAAGACCGTGTCCATCTGGCGACAGACCTCCTGTAATTGGAAGGAATAATGGTGATGAGAGAGAGACAGAGTGGAAAAGGACACAACTGTCTTTGTTCTGCTTAGAAGCTTCTGTTATGGTGGACAGAAAAGCTACAATGTACTTTTGTCATTAAATCATTAGTAATTTGGTCAAGCCCTCCATTGGGGATGAAAGGATGCAGATGACCCCAGTCAAAGGCCCAGCAGGGGGGACTGCAAGTAATTACTTGTGCACTTAAAGCATTGACATGACTATTGTAAACCACTGATAAACAAATTTATAATTTGCCAGTTGTCAAAATGTGGTTTGGCTGGTGATTTTCTTCTCTTTTTTGGTCTATAGTTCATCAGAAACACATTTTAGAAGGACAGTTCAACTACTTACCTTCTGGAAAAGTGCTACAGACAATTTAGACGAGTTTTTTTTGTAGCAGCTGCAGATTTTATGGATTATTGTAAAAACACTTAATTATTGACTAAACATTTACAGTTGCAGATGCCAAACCAGACAATGGTAGTTAAAACCCATGAACTGAATAATTAATCCCTTCCAAACCAACAATAAAAATGGTCTCTTATTAAATAATGGAACCAGCAGCATAATTTGAAAGAAAATAAACCAGACAAACCTTGTCTACTTGAACAGCTATATCCTCAGAAGATGAGAGTGGGTGGCTTCTGTGTGTAGAAAAAGAAATCAGAAAACACTGAATATTCATTTTTCACTCAAATATAATTAGTCGGTGAGTACTACTTACTCTCTGCGCGAATAACCAGGAGAGTGCATCCTCCGCGGCTTGCACTGCGGCCCAACGGGAATCTGAAGCATCATCTTTCCACCTGAAGTGACGCCTCCCCCTGCTGGTCCAGCTGCTGACCTGCTGTGGTCTATGCAGCCGCTGCTGTTAGCTCGAGGACGATCTTTTGCGCGGTTGTCAGCTAAGAATCCCGTTTCCAAATCTGTAGCAAAGCACATAAGTATTTTTTTTTTTTTTTAAGTCCACAAAGACAAAGCGATAAACCCAAATAATCACATAAAACTTACCATCTTTACTAAGAGTGCACTCTGCTTCAACATCTCCTTCCTCATTAATAGGCTCACTGTGGAGAGAACATGCTCAGATCATCCTTTAACCACAAACGATATGTGCATGCATCCATCTGCGAGTCAGAACATTCTTCACCGTACCAGTCATCCTGTTCTAGTGTCATGCATTTCTCGTACACCGGTCCTTGCACTTCGCTCTGACTGGGGAAGATGCTTTCATGCTGGAGGATGATGCCCTTGACCAGGGCGTTGATCTGAGGCTGCAGGGTGACAACATCCTCATCCTGAGCCCCTCTCACCAGGCTGGGGCCGAAACACACGGCCAGATTGTAAGGCTGCATCATGTTCTCGTCACTGTACTGAGACACACTGGAGGAGGGAGCAGGGAGAAGATAAGAAGGGAAAAATGGGGACAATGAAGAAGGGACAAAAATCAAAAGAGGCAAATATGTCCAAAATTTGAGCTCAACCCTTAAACATTAACCGTTTGCTCTAAAACGTTCTGATATTTAAACTACATTCAGTTTTTTTCTTTTTGGCTTGAGTTTTGTGGTTTCCTTATTGCGATATGACACAGTGTTCCGTGAGTCAACATTTTCCCCTTTGTCTATTTTTGGGCATTTTTATCACTGTCACCATCTGTTATCTCTGTCAAGCTGATATGAGATCTGAGTAGTTCTTTTACATCATATACACTACTAGATGGATTAAGTTTAAAAAAATAAAAAAATCCTGTTTTGCCCCAATTGTCCTGTGTAAAGATGTCAAAACATGTCATCTTCCTGTGTCTCAAGTGCAACATCATCGGTCCGCTGTGGATATGAGCTGGTCGTGCGCATTTCCAGCTATCCGTTTTCTATACTTGTATTATTCAGTAGAACTTTGTAGAATAGAATGCCTTTATTGTCACTATACACATGTACAATGAGATTAAGAGATTGTAGAGGGCTGGAGTGCATCACAGGGCCGACACAAAAAGACAGACAACTATTCGTGCTCATTCACACCTACAGATTATTTAGAATCACTAATTAACCTACCATGCATGCATTTGGAGTGTGGTAGAAGGCCAGAGCCCACAACCTTTTTGTTGCAAGGTGCTGCTTGTGCTAACTGCTGCAACACCATGCTGCCCTGACTTTGCATGCTGACTAAAAAAAAAAAAAAATGCTAAAAATACGTCTGAGATCTAACAAGACTCAAGTAAACTGGCTCTTTCATATTCTATAAAGTCACGCTTTCATTTCCTGATTGTATGATGTGATCATAATTGCTCATTCAAGCATGTGCCAGTCACAACCACAGCAAGTTTTAATACTCACTGATGAAGGAATGCAAAGAGGTATCTCATGACGATGATGACGGGCTCAGGGTAGGAAGAGATGACTGATTTGAGTTGAGCTGCTCGCTCTGCCTCGTTCTTTATTTCTGAGAAAAGGTGAGGAAAGAAAGATAAGCTGCTGTACATCCTCAGCCACAGTCATCACATCGCATACGCCCATGCACACTCACGAGTGTGTTCTAGAAGCTGGCTGGTGCTGTCGATGGGGAAGAGTGGATTCTCCAGTCCTCTGAAGTAGAGCTTCAACACTCCAGCCACGGAGTCCAGGTCATACCAGCGCTCAGCCAGGGGGTCTTCTCCTGCAGAGGAAGCCCACGGCACACTGCCCCACATTATTAATGCTCCACAGTGAGCAGAGCTACTCTATAAGTCGGGGTTAACCCAACACACACGTGCACAAAACACACAGGTCTACCTCGCTCGAATGCATCCCTCAGGTTATTGACCTCCATCTGAGGCCCCGGCACTCTGAATATGCCCTCGTGGTGGAGACCTGAAGAGAAGGCATGTTGCTATGATTCGTCAGTGCTTTAAACTACCTGAGAACTTTTAAAACCAATTCAAAAATATACACTTAAAGTCACAAACATTTTTATGTTACTATAGCTTTTTAAAATTTGTACAAGAATGTGAATTATGACAAATGCTGGTGACTTGTGTTTATGTCAGTGTTGATCTCTCAGTGGCTTTAAAAGATAAAACTGTGTCTTTTATGTATTTTTTGTGCATCAAAGCTACAAATCTGCTGGTTTTCTGTTCCTTTGCTCTCGAGTATTCACCATTGAGGTTGATAAAGCGAATGCAGCTTTCCACAACAATTGGAATCTGTTGTCCTGATGCCTGTAAAAAAAAAAAAAAAAAAAAGAATTTCGTGATGAATTTCACAAACAGCAGGTCTGATATACGAGTACAGACGGATACTAGAAACGAAGAACTATACAGAATGAACAATGAAAGAAGAAACGCATAATTATAATGGTAGCTACCTGTATGAAGGACAGCATGTCTCCACTGAAAAGTTTGTGGTTGTGCAACAAATTGGCACTTGAGGGATTCCTTCTGACACGCAGAGACTTTCCAGTTAGTCTGCAGATTGACATGTCGCAACATGAAGACATAAGAAACTCCATTTTAATCAAGTGCATAATATGTACAGCTCACCAGTGCACAACGTCTTAGTGCTATCGCAAATTAATAAAAACAATGACTCCATAGGAACTGGCAATATTTATATTCATACCTTGGCTGATGCCCATTTGATGCTTCAGCTGTCAAGAAAGAAATAATTTAAGAAGCAAAAGTTAGAACCACCAAAAAAAACAAAAGTTGATAACAATATCCTACACCATTTGTTACTAAGTGACACTTTGGGTCAGCGGTTGGCCTTGTTGTGGCATTATTATGTGAGAAATGCAGGAGTCCTACCTTTTTCCACAGCTACTTTAAGCAGGTCATGTTTGGCTTGAAGTTTAGACACCAGGGAGCTGCCAACAAGGTACTCTTTAACTTTCTGTAAAACAAATCAGACGTGCATGCTGTCAGAAAACAAGTGGTTAAATCAACATCAGCCGGGCATCACGAAACTGAAAAGTAAACTCTTCTGATCTATTGCATTAAAAACAGACTTACAGTGAAGTAGGAGTTTTCTATTTCCTGCAGGTTGGCCGCCCTGCGTCGTGCCACGCTGGGCTTCACTGTAAGATTCTCAGTGCTGCCGTCGTGAGACGAACCAGAGCCGCTGCTGAGCTCCAGATCATCATCACTGATGCACTCCAGCAGGGAGGCCTGAGCTGCTGACATGTTCTTACCAGCCTGCGTGGAAGTGGCAGAAAGAACAACTTAGAAGTGACCTGCAGCTGAAGTGGAAGGCTGTACTCAGGTCAGAATATTGATGCTGACTCAGATTCTGATCTGGATATACAGTTATGAACAAAAGTTTACATAAACTTGTAAAGAGTGTGTGTATCATGGCAGTCTTGAATTTACAGTGACTCCTACAACTCTTAATTTTCTATGATGGAAACACAAATGCGTCCTTGTCATAAAAATAAATAATCATCCATTTTGGTTCTTTAATAGATTTATTACAGATCTTTTTAAAATATGACTAAATCTGCTAAAAATACATACAGCAATCCATCCTTTATCTATATACTGCCTAATCCTCACATAATTCTGACATAGGGCAAAGGCAGGGGACACCCAGTCTATCACAGGGCTACACTTAGAGACAGACAACCAAGCACACTCACATTCACACCTACGGACAATTAAGAGTGACCAATTAACCTCATCATGTTTTTGGACCGTGTGGGAGGAAGCCGGAGAACCCGGAGAGAACCCACGCTGCATGGGGAGAACATGCAAACTCCACGCAGAAAGATCCCAGGTGTCCTAACCGGGATGCGAACCAGGGACCTTCTAGGTGCGAGGTGACAGTGCTAGCCACCGAGCCACCTTGCAGCCCTTCAGAAATCCAAATATCTGATTAAATGTCTCTAAGTGTAGCCCTGTGACAGACTGGTGACCTGTCCAGGGTGTCCCCTGCCTTCACCCTAAGTCAGCTGGGATAGACTCCAGCCCCCCTGCAACCCTAGTGAGGATTAAGCGGTGTGTAGATAATGGATGGATGTCCTTCAGCCATTTTCACCTGAATTAGGTACTTTTAAGCTTCTGGTTGTATTTTGACCACTATCAACAGAATTGGTGCACTTCAATTAAATTTGATGGCTTTCTGACACGGACAGTCCACAGGTTCTTGATGAGCTTTTCTATTTTGATTTTGTATGTTGATGTATATTTTTCACCCAGCAGAATTTGTCATATTTTCAGAAGACCTATATTACATTTATGAAAGAAACAAAATTCATGATTTTTTTTGTGCCAAAGATGCACGCGTTTCAATCTTTTAATCATAGAAAATAAGAACTGAAGGAGTCTTTGGAAACTCAAGACATACAAGTGTATGTAACCTTTTGTTCACAGTTGTAGATAGAAGTACAGGCCTTTTGTCTATGTTGCAATATCGGTGTCTGCAATGGTCTATTTAAAAAAAATAACATTATGTTGCTTTCAAGTGCCTGTGAGAGCTACGTCAGCCGAGATAAAAACACTCTATGAAGGCCTGAGAACAAGTTAATCAAAAGCGAGAAGTTACTGCCCTATTTCTGGATTTGCTTCTTCATCGCTTTGAAACGCAGTACTTTTGCCTCCCAGCTTAAGCTTATCGTACTTTCAATGTCCTTCAATAAATTAGAATAAGGACACAAAAACATTATGCGATAGACTGTTTGTAGCCTTGTAGGGGCTCAAGAAACATGCAGATGAGTTGCAAGATATACTTTACCTCCTCTGTTTCCTGGGTGACGGCTTTCAGCCTGGTTTGTATCTGTCTGAATCTGGTCTCTAGCTCGCATCTCATCTCACACTCTGCACTGACCTCAGAAACCTGCAAAACATAAGTAAATAAATCTAGAGCTGGGGCACCACACCACAGAAAAACCAGCTAAAAAAAGAAAAGAAAAGAAAAAAGCACACTGATAGATTATTCACATGCCTGGTCCCCGTCATGGGGCTGATAGGGGAAGCGAAGGGGCATGGAGAAGGTGTTGTAGTGGTCCTGCAGGAGGGTGTCCCTGTCCTGGCTCTGGTCCAGCCCGGACACGGCCCCCTGGAGCTGCTGCAGACCGGTGCTCAGGTTCTGCTGGGCCCGCCAGCGTCTGGACAGGTAGGCCTGCATCACCCGGTCCAAAGAGACGTGGTATCCTACATCTGCACACTGGAAGACATGATATCCAGACATTTTATTAAAACACGATATTTTAGGTGGTAACTATGGTCTGGCCCCAGATCACGGGGGGTTCCGAAACTTAATACACAGAGTTTGTTTATGTTGAAAGGAAAAGGCAGCATACACAAGTTTAAAGACCGGTGCACTCACATCTATGAGAGTAGAGATGTCTTGGAGGTAGTACTTATTCATGGAGGAGTTGGCAGCAGACAGGTTTAGGAGGTAGTCGTTTCGGGCCTTGCTGCACTTCAGGTGTATCTCCTGAACCTTACCTTGTCTCTACAACACACAAACATCGTCACCAAGAGCCACATACTCGGCACGCATGCGCATAATGCAAGACAAAAGATTCATATTTACTTTTTCTATCAACCTCTCAAGCTTCTTAGCAGCGCTCTGCTTTTGCTTTTCCTCCTGTTTCTCTGCCTCCCTTAGCTTCCCCTCGGCGGCCACATAGTCGGAGTGGTACTGGTAGTATGTTCGCCAAGCCTGCACACAGATACACACGGCACTGCTTTATTTTGCATGTTTAGGAAGCGGGAAGTGTCTTGGGTGGTTGGTTTCTCACTTACAGTTTGCAGCTCTGTGGTAACCTTCAGCAGTCCGTCTTGTAGCTGGGTACAGATGTCTTTACTCTGGAAACACAATGCAGACACTAAATATCACACATTGAGGTAGCACAACACAGAAAGTACACAGTGAGCCACAGTGTATTTTCAATGTCAAGAGATATATAGGGGATATTGTGAAAGTGTCAACGCTGCAAGTGAGTTACATTGCAGAAGGCCAGACTTGTCTGAAATACTCGACAGGCTTCGTGTTTATGGCAGGCAGGTCAGCGGTTTTAATGGTACCTTCTTGGCAAGGCGTTGCGTGTACTCCAGACAGTGTGTAAGGGGCTGGATGAGAAAGTTGCTGCAACTTTCACTCAGGCCGTTGTGGTCTCTGCTCTCCTGGCGGGTTTGGGACAGCAGAGCCAGCCAGACCTGGGCCACCGAGTGACTGCTGGGATCCTTCCTGAGCACATGTACGAGTACAAAAGACGAAAAAGACATCGACACAAAGACACTTTCAGTCCAGACACATCCTCGGATGAACTGTCAATTTAGTGCATTGTGTGCAGGGTTGTCATTACCTCTTAATCCTTGAGGTGAACTTTTCTGCAAGTTTCTCCAGTGAGCGGGAGTACTCGCTTTCAATCTCACCCCGCCGCCGCAGGTAGTCTGCCAGATCTTGCAGCTGTTGGCTTTTCTGTTCGAGCTGCAAGTCCAACACCTTTAGTTGGTCTACAAGCTGGCAACGCACCTCTGCAAACAGAAAGAAGTGCGTAGGAGACAACATAACTCATTCTGAAAGTCTTTCGGCTGTATGAGATACAGATTTTACAAGATTTTTTTCCACAAAAGAACATGAGTGAGTGGTGATAAAGTGGGAGAGGTTGCTAGAATGGTACAGATGAAAGTTTGTTCGTGGTTTACCTTTGATTTGTGTATCGTAGTCCACAACACCGACCTTCTCCTTCCGAAGTTTTACGTGGGAAGTCATTGTTGCTCCAACCGGGTGAAATTCTATATAAAGGAAGTGAACATTTCACTGTATCACCATGTAGCATTAAACACCAGCTCTGTTGGTTTTGTCCATATTGCAGAAGTGTAGTATGCTTTGTGTGCATACATACTATTCTAGTCAAGGCCTCGGACCCACTGCTGCACCCCTAGCATGCCCCTCCATAAACTGTCACACTCCACCCACCACAGACGATAGCAACTTCCTCCTGACGCAGAAAGAGTGAAAAGAGCATGTTCATCTTACTGTAACACATCTCTTCAAACCGGCCACCCCTCTGCTGCGCTCTCCTTAACGGCAGACAACTAGAAAACCAGTTGGCATGTGTTGCCTGCTGCACCGGTCACACTGCAGATTTGCACGAGGTGCAAAAATAGCACCAGCAACATCTCAGCTGCCCTAAAAATAGGGGTGAACCGCAAGGCGTACAACTCTGCAGGGATGTTTGTGCTGAAGACTACAGGTGTTTGTTTGTTTTTTTACTACTAGTGATACTCAAGTTTACTGATGCACTCAGTATATTTTGCTTTTACAGCAACTAAGCAGCAAATCCAGCTGCTTCTCACTTCTACAGTGTTTGCTAAATGACTGTGAATCTACACCGGCAAAGTATATTCTGGTTTAGGTTGAACACGAGGAGCACGTTTGACTGAGACTTAGCTTCAGACGACATGAAAAGGAACAAGCCTCACTGGAGAACTTTTTTAAGAATTTCGGTTTCAGTTTCTTGCGCTTTACATGATCTTGTATGACTGGAACCCCTGTGTAACGTCTCGGCCTGATCTCAGCAGAACATAGAAGAAGAACAAGATAGAAGAGTGCGGCTGGAGCATGACAGTTGTTTAAACGCCACAGCCTTTGACAAATCAGCAACTTAGTAACTGATGTCTGCAAGATTTTAATCAGGACAACATTTATTACACGTCAGAAAGGGGAAGAGCGGGTTGTTTTCTTGCTGGATCATAACCCTTTGTACACAATCATCTCACATTCTCTCTCTTTCCCCTTTAACTTCCCTTTTTTCAGAAGCCAAACATCACTCATCAGCATTCTTCTTCTGGCTGAAATGTGCACTCTTTCAAACGTGTACCGACTGACCTGCTAAAATGACTCTGCTGCCTTTGAGCAAACCCAAAACTCCCTTTTAAAAAAGGAGAGTGTCTCATTTTCATTTTTCCAGCCTATGTCACCCTTTTCCATTAGCCCCTTTCATTCTTTCTTTATGCGATCAGCACTGAATCACCACCTCCTGTCGTCACAATCTGCTGCAATATTCCTTATTAAAGCTGGTCTTAACCTTACTGCAGCTGTAGCCTTTCAGCTCATTTTTATTGTGATGTTGTTTGTCTCACTTGGATTTTTTTACAAGTACCAACACATAGATGCCGCTTGAGTTATGAGACATGAAACGGCCCGAGGGCTTTTTTATCTGTGGCCAATAATAACATAACTGAAATAATCAAGCAGAGCGATCCTTAACAGCAGCATAACAAGCACCATTCACTACAAAACGGGTTTAATAGACCCCCAACTCTCTGCTCTGTGTTGGCTTGACAGGCCAGTAAATAAAAATCAATAAAAGTTTAATACACCCATTAAAAAAAAAAAAGAGAGAGAGTCATACCTGATGAGGAGCAGTCTCGACTAGCCTCTTCTCCAGACTGAGACAACTAAATAATGCCAGTTAATAGCAGAGTGAGCTCTCAACTGCTTCACCTCCCCCTCACATTGGACACGGATGGATGTGGGTGGGGTGGATCTCATCTCTCTCGCTCTCTCTCTCTCTCTCTTTCACATACACTCACTGTTGTGCTGTTCGCTCTTTCTCACCCCTCATCTCACTCACACATTTGCTTTGAGGCACCGAATGAGCGATTGTGCAAGTGAGACGAGAGAAAAAATCTTCACCGAGTCAAGTCCTTCCTCTGTTTTTCTTTCATGCTGCCTCTTGAGCTTCTCAGTCTAATCAAACACCAGCTGCTGTCACTGATTAGTCTCCTGCTCACAGGTTATCTGCAAGTTACTGAGTGAAATCAGCTGGTATAGAGTTCAGTAGGAAAAAAAAAAAAAGTTGGTTTGAGTTATTTTTTGAGCCAATAAATGAGTTTGTGAGTAAGCCATGCAGCAAATATAGGAATATATTCAAGTACAATAAATACAGAAGCATATATTTGACTATAGAAAAACAACCATCAACATTTTGTAGATTTCTAGCAAAACAAAACAAAAACCCACCACAACCATTGCTGCTCTGAAATCCAAACACAGGAAAGATGTGTCATGTGTGAGTCGTGCTCTTTTACACTTTGCGCAAAAAGTGTCAAACGGGCACCGGGGTGTGAATCTGGGTTATTTACAATTTCTGACAAACTGCCAAACTTTCTGAAAGGTCAGTGTGCTTAGTTTTCTCTTATCTGCCGCGTACTTCTCACTCTCTATGGCTTTCCCTTCCTCTAACGGACAGTCGGACAGTGTTGTGAAATCAGCCTAAGAATCCACTACACTGCCATTTTTTTTTTTTTTGGCCGTTTTGCCAAAAAAAGTCGCTTTGATTGAAGTTAGTATATATTGATGGCTAATGTATTACTTGTTTGTCTTCTCGGTTTAAAGCAGAGGCAACTTTTGAACCTTGGAACAGGAATGTTGGAATCTTAAAGCCCAGCTGTACATGAGGATGGTGGTCAGACATTCTTTATAGAAAACAGTTTCATCATTTTGACTTTAGCCTGCGTAGAAAGAATTCCACTTATCTGATGGCATAAGCTTTCATTTATAAACAAATGTATGTATTCTTTACTGTCAGTCCATTCAAGTGTGAGGTTTGCTGCGCACCTTCTGTGAAATAATTGTCTTTCACCAACATGACCACTGGGAGTCACCAGATCTTACGTGTGCGTTTTCACAACCAGGCGGAGGATTTAGCTGTTCACGCCTCACCTGGATGTGTGCAACTGCAACAAGCGCAGCAACTGTAATTAAACAATAACCTATCCATTAACTGTGCAGACAGTGTAATTCCAGGAAGAGCTGATTGTGTCACTTTAACTAGATGGCTTACAACATTTCATTAATGCTATTGCGACATCCTGCAGAATCGAAAACCAACGTGTTTCCACAGTCGTCTCCAGCCGTCGTCAGGCCTCCTAAAGATCTGTGCTGAGAAATAAACCTTCAAAGATCACTTCTAGAAATAACTGACACACCAAGTATTATTTGAAAGATTTATTTGCAGTAATTCTCTTAAATAAATGAGACCAATTTGAGAAGTACACGTTGTCTTCAATCCTCTACACCAGCTTTGGTAATGACAACAGCAATCCAATAAAAACACTGAGACCAGTATTTCTCTTTAGTAATTTACTTTAAGCAACATACTGATTCATATCCAGGTCTCTTTGTTCATCACTGCAGAAAAAAAACAAAAACAAAAAACAAGAATTAAGAAAAATCCAGTGATGGAAATGTTGGAACAGCTTTGATGTACAGTTAGTCTGTAAAGCCAGAGTTAGTGGCAAACGGAGACAAAAAGAGGAAGCGAGGGATGATTTCTTAAAAATGTCTCGGCCTGCAGCGTCATTGTGAATCAGAAGAGGAATCTTTAACGTCTGTGCTTTCTGTCGCCTCGCTAACTTCGCTCAGCTCTTTGCTTTCTCCTCCGCTGTCTCTCTCACTTTCTCTCTCCTGGTCCCCAGACCCTGATGGGCTCTGGCCAGACGGAGCCTCTTGACCAGACACTCGCACTCCAGGTTTCCTCAGCTACAGAAATAAAATAGGACTCACCATCAGAATGTGCTCACTTGAAGTCAGTGGCTTTTGTTTTTTCTACATGACCGCTGAGGTACCACAGGGCTGGTTAAAATCATGCCAGTGTAGCCACATACATAAAAAAAATAAAAATATGTGGAGAATAAAGTTACCTCATCAGCCATGTGGGCCAGGTCTCTCTTCATGGCGTAGGCATCCTCCCCATCTGCATAGTATTTAGGCTCTACTTCACTAATCCTGTGAAGGAGCAACAACAAACCACACGAGTCAGTACAAATATCACTGTGTTGTTTTCCTGTGGGAGGGGAAACCTTAAAGAAGATTTAGACTGAATATTTTAAAAACAGATTTAGGTTTAGACTAAAGATTCTTTTTTACATTTGCTTACTTTTTGGTCAAATAAATACATGAATAAAAAAAATAAGCAGTTACCAATCAGAATTATATTCCTAGCATTGTACAAGAATCTTTAAAACAGTTGGGCTTTGATGGAGGATTTACACTTATGACTAGTTCCCTACAAATATTACGAGTTAATTCTTTAATGCCACTAATATATCAGCTGGTATTCTTTTGTTTTTATATATTACTATGAACGATTTAGAAACGGATCTTTTCTAAACATTTTTTTTTTTTGCTATACACAAACGGAGAAATCGAACTTGTCGACTCTCTCTGGTGTGCAGCAACAGCGACCCTTTCTTTTTTTTTTGTTCCAATGATCCTACAGATGCACATTGAGCACACTTTGCACAAACTGTTGCACACAGCGCACTGCAGAGACGGAGGTGCAAGCATCTGAAAGAGCACAGTCGGAAAAAAAATATTGACACTGCCGAAGCCTGATGAAACACCCCATGTGTTAATTAATGCAAGCGATTTAAAAAAAAAAAGAGTGTTAAATACATTTTCATGAGCTCAGCGCGCATTCATTCACTTTTTGGCACATTTTGCTGCAGGTTTTTTTTTGTTGCTATTTTTCAGTTGAAATATATCAAATACTGATACGTCTGACATTATCCAGGATTGTTTGATATATTTGATAAACCTGGATTGTTGGGTTCTCTGTTTAAATTTGTAAGGTCTGTACCTTACTAAGTTAAGCGCTGTGAGATGATGTAGACTGCACTATATAAATAAAACTGAATTGATCTCTTTCAGATCTACACTCCAATAATTCATTCATTTCACTTTTCTGCAGCTTTCGACTGGAACCAGTTACAAAAAACAATCAAACTCAGTGTATTTATATCTGTATCTTCTTTTAAAAATATGGTGAAACAACTTTTTATCGAGTCCTGTACCTGCTTTTAGTGTATTTTATCTTCAAAGACTTTTATTGTCACATTTTGTTTGTGTATTCTTTTCTTATGGATGTATTGTATTTTCTGCTCTGTGCTGCCTCTTGGCCAGGTTGTTGTTGTAAATGAGAACCTGTTCTCAATTAGCCTACCTGGTTAAATAAAGGAAAAATAAAATAAAATAAAAGCCGCCTGATACGACCACCGCAACAGGGCCCGAGGTCGATAGCTAGACTCTTCTCCTCTGAGGCTCCCTGGTGGTGGAACAAGTTACCAAACTCTGTTTGATCTGCTGATTCCCTCTCAGTCTTTAAGAAAAGACTAAAGACCCAGCTCTTCACTGAACACACTTCACTGCCCACAAACAAACAAACAAACAAACAAACAAACAAAAACCCCTCTTACCGCCCACACAGCCTGCTATTGGCATCACCACGCTATCACACTTGAACTTGTTCTACGGCACTTATCTAGATCATTTTCTCCTGACTAGATCCTTGCTTGTGTTGTATCTGCTCTCAGATGTACGTCGCTTTGGATAAAAGTGTCTGCCAAATGAAACTGTAGAATATATAAACTCATGAGTTTAGTCGTCTCCTTCTACTCATCACCCCAGAATTTCTGAAAGCTGGAGCGATGGACGCATCAATTAATGCACAACAAGTATTATAAATGAAACAGACTTACTGGAATTTGAGTGTGTTTGAGTAGAGGTGCAGGGCTGCTCGGTTGCTGTAGTGGGAAGAAAACATTTTTAAAACTTTAAAAACAGGATCACTAACTCACATGCAGTCTGTATGAACACATTTTTAAAAAAGGAACCTATGACACAATTTATCCACACTAACTAAACAGTGCACAGTACCTTTTACGCACGTGAAGCGAGACATATTTAGCGTTGAAGTTCTCTATCATGGCCCGGCTGGCCTGATCCATCAGCTTTTGAGCCAAACCAAGGCGTCTGTGGGACCGTTTCACTGCCTAAAGGACGCAAAAAGGGTTTTTTTATTTCCCCAGATGAGCCAGAACATGATCTCAGCAGCATAACATTTGTAACACCAATTATAAGGAATCATTTCTTCTCTTGCGCCGACTCACCAGGGAGGTGATGTGTCCATGTGGTACATCATCTGGGTCCTCCTCCCTAAACACAGCAGTACATTACACATGGCTTTTGTTCAAGTGATGTCAAGTCTACTAATGTGATCAGATACTCACATCTTTGCCAGCACATATCCCACAATTTTCCCATTTTCATCCTCTGCGATGTATGAGAGCTGAAACGATGAAAACAAAGAGTGTGAATCAGAAGCGACCGTGACAGGAGCAGGAGGAGGAGGAATGGGAAGCAGCACTGCGGCTCACCTGAGGCCAGGACAAGCCGTGATAGAAATAGTACTTCATCTGGTAGTTTTCTGGAAGACACAGCAGGTTGCAGTGCTGCATGTTCATGAGGTCCTCCGGCTGAAAGAAAGAAAGAAAATGCTCATGACACATCGCTCAAACGCCGAGAGTTGATATTTCGCCTGTTAAAGTGCATCCTGCAGTCAGTGAGGTTAGCTTAGCTTCCAGCAGAACCAGCGTGGCAGCCGACAGAGCTCCAGCTCACTCACCCGCGCGTTTCTGATGTTCATGTTGCTGTCTGGTGTCTTATCAAAACTATAGAAAAAGAAAATAATTATACTACACGCGTGAAACAGGTCATACTAGTCACACCACACAGTTTAAAGAGCTTGTTAGCTAGCTAGCTGTGCCGACTAGCTAGCAGGAAGGGAGGAAGGAGCGTGCGACAATAACGGCGCACGTTTCCGCAACAGCGTGCTGGCGCTTCACAATAAAAGTTCTAAGCTCTGGGACACAAAATGCATTTTTAATAATAAATCGGTTTTATATTAAGTTTATTTAACCTTTTTTTTCAACACATAAAAAACTATACATATGGAAGTAGGGTTGTGCAAAAAAATTTAAGAACATCAGTAAAAACAAAAAAATGAAATGAGCAAGAAATATACAGATGTGCACAACATAATAATAGTGATAAGTGAAACATACAGTCGTCCTCAGATTTATTCACGGCCTCCCATTAAAGAAGGAAAAAACAGCTGTCACTGAAATAAGCTGAAATTGACAAAAGTAATAATAAATAAAATTTTTGTTAAAATCATGACATTGCTTTTGAATTGTGGCTCAACTGAAATATTAAATAAATAACTCTCAATCAGATTTCTGCACCTGTTGACAGGTGTTTTGATTTTGGCTCATCAGCAAAGTGCTCTAATTTGTCTGGGACAGTTTTTTTTCTTTTAAATTATTCATTTAACCACAATTCAACAGCAATGTCTTATTTCACTAAATTATAATTTAGCAAATATTTATTTATTATTACTTTTTTTCAGACTCTAGTTATTTGAGTGACTATTGTGAATTTCTGCCCTTTCTTTAATGGAAGGGTCTGAATACATTTGTCTGTTTTTCTATGTGTGGTCGACTGAGAGCAGTGCTGGTTGAAAAATCTGACAGCAGCAGGAATAAGCTGTGGTATCTCACGTTCACATACTGTGGGTGATTAATATCATATGTATATAAGAAGTATGTTTAGGTGACCTAATTTAGAGGATAATTAAATCATCACAGATTATGACTTTTTATTATAAAACTAAATGCCAAATCCTGAAAAGGGTCATGGAGAAATACGGCCTCCAAAGTTCAAAATGATTCATTATCATCATTATTATTATTATTCTGGTAGATTATTCGTAGCAACTGGACTTGCTTGAGTTCCTTGAAGACGTTTCACCTCTCATCCAAGAGGCTTCATCATTTCTGACTGACTAGTTGGGAGTTCCAGATACTGACATCCTAAGGGGCCATTAACACCTGAGTTTGGGTTTCAATTGGGGGTTTGTTGCTCCTCCCCCTCATTATGTGAGTCGTTAGTGCTCCTCCTGCCACAAAGGGGTTTGTTAGGGTCCTTTGTGGCTATAGGTGTGAATGCGGTTTCATCTTCCTGGGGAGAGTTCTTAAGACTGAATTGTAAACAGGTGAGAGGTGATGCCTCAGACCTCCACCTCTGTTGAGGGATGGTCTTTCCAGTTTGACATAGATGGCTTCTTTCACCCCTCTGTCAAACCATCTGTCCTCCTTGGCCAAAATCTGTACATCACTGTTCTCAAATGAGTGTCCTTTGTCCTTGAGATGCAGGTGGACTGTTGAGTCCTGTCCTGAGGAGGTGGCTTGTCTGCAAAACATCCCTATTAGTCCAAATACACAACAGCAACCTGTAAAACTTGTATTAATTTCTTGATATAATCAATATTGTTCCACAATTTACTTCAAAAAAAAAAAAAAAAGCTATCAAAAACAAATTCTCTGGATTTTTTTGTCTTAATTTTTAGTGATAAAAAAAGTTCCTGACCTGTGATTTGATTCACAAATTGAGGTCCTGTTGTGTTTTTAAAAGATAATCCCTGTCACTGCAGAAACACTGAGCCTTTTGTTTCCAAAGTCCCAACAATATCTATAGATTCTGATGTAAATGAAATAGCTTTATGTTGGACTAAGATAACACATTATAATACTGTCAGCCTCGCTAATCCTTTATCATACAATGATCTGAACTTATTATATTAGATACAAGTTAAAACATTGGACTATTCACCATTAAAATGAGTCTATTTATCTTAAAAAATAAAAATAAATAAATGCAACAAAGTGTAAATTTAGTTGGACACCTGATTCCATATAACTGACCAAATTAAATATATGTATGTGTCTGTTGGAAACCTTTAAAGTTGTTCGAGTAATCGTCAACCAGGCTCTTCTCTAAATGAAGCTGGTTCCTTAATCATCACCAGAGCTTCTTGAAGCTAATTCCAAGTGAATAATCATTAATTAGTCAGTCACGCTCTATATTTAATCATTCATTGGTCCACGGTCCATGTAGAAAATAGCCAAACAGGTTCACTCCAACACTCCCAGTAATTGGCCACAGCAGTGCAGGTAAACCTTCTGTCATCCAATCAGAAGCGCAGCATGCAAATGAGGCAGGTGTCACAGAGATAGGGGCTGTAGAGGAAACACACACATATGTTTAGAATAACACCGAGGCGGCGTCTTCAACATTTCACAGGAAGGATGGTCTTTAAAAAAAAATTATTCTAATAATAAAATAATAATTTCCGGGTCCGTTCAGAGGGAGACGAACACGTCCACCTGTCAGAGGAGGACTCGGGGGCGCTGATAACCAGATCAACCTGCTGCTGCTGCTGCGAAATGTGAGAAAATGTAAAAGTTCAGGGTGTAAAATGTGATCAGTAAAGAGGGAGTGTGACTGAGATCGCTTATTCCGGATGGATCTGAAGCTGGAGTCAAGTTTGTGGGTCGGAAACAAAAGATACCGAGCGGTGCTGACAGGATGGCACCTCAAGTGGACCGAGGTGGATAAGAAGAACCGCGACAAGAAGACAGGTGAGCGCACTCTGGCAGATATGAGTCTGTAAAACGCTGCAGGCTACAGGTTGCTTTTTAAATATGTCTAATAAATATGTGCACATGCAGGATCACTGTGACTTGTTTAAAGCCACAAGTCTGTTTCCTGTCTGCATTGACACAAACAGGACTGTATTCGTTGTTTAGTAAGTAGCCAAGGAAACTAAAAACAACAGTCACTGCATCTGATGTGCTGCTAATTTAGGGAGGGGATGTTTTAATGGAGCCTTTAAGTGGCTGCAGAAAACGTGAAGAACGAGTTGAGCAGCACAAACAAGACAGTTTACTGAAAACAAAGGCGATGGAGGACACACACACACAATCACACACACACTCCTTGCAGTAGATTCTAATCGAGTACAGGGCTTGTTCTGCAACTATCAAACTTTTCTTCATTCCGATCACTGAAACTGCCTGTCGTCCAACAATAAAAACAAAAAAGAGGAGAAAAAGGGGAATGTGAAGAAGTGAAAAGCGTTTCCTGGAATCTGTTGTCATCACACAGAGAAACACACAAACAAAACAAAACCATAAGCCAAAGAAAGAAAAGATAAAAACAGGAAAGCAACAGGTTTCAGTATATATCTGCCTGCGAGTCTTCCTGGTGACAACATATTAGAGAGTATTGTCAAAATGGAACATTTCTACTCTGGAACAACTTATTCCAGATCCTCAACTCCCTACTTGATTTAAATATATAGTAATAATATATAAACAATAACTTCCTCACTGCAAGAATAATTAAGCATCAAACTAATGAGTCCAGCTCAAATCCAAATGTCCTGACAACACTTTATTACTGCTGTATATTTTTTAAACACAAGACAATGATCTAGAGTCAACATTTCAGTGTCTTAATAAACCATCACCATGAAAATATAACACCACAGTGGAAATATGTGTGTGTACCACTGAAAAGTATTGTTTTTTAAATTAAACAGGCCTTTCAGAACTGTTGTGACCATGACTGCCGCGTAAGCCCACTCATTCATTAACTTAAAAACATGCATGTTTGAATATTTATTCTAAATAATTATGTAGATGTTAGGAGACGATGTAAAATAGCTACAGGTAGCCGACTGGAGCTTCTGTTGGTGTGGTAATTCTTTACAAATAGGAGATTTAAAACGTGCCTTCTTCTTAGCTCAGTTACACCACGCTATCCGATAAGAGAACTTATATTTGGTCGAATTTAGAAGTATTTTGATCATGAAAAACAATTTTTCCTATTAACTTACTTACAGCAGTGTCCCATTCTGACACTGTCAGGATGTCCCGTATTAACAACATCCTACAGGTTTGGTGGTGCACTAGCAGATTTGCATTTTGATCTATAATTACATCCCATTACAAAATAAGTTGGAATAAAGTGGTACAGTTTTGTTGTCAGAACTCTCATTTTCGTTACCACTGTGATTCTTGGAATAAGTGTCACTTCACAAGATGAAACATCTACATTTCTAACATGACACCCATGTGGACTTTTTTTCTTTATCAGATTCCTTTTCAGCAACACATAAGCATTGCTTTGTGGTTATTTGATGTACTCCTTGATCATTGCAAAGCATCCTAATGTGCCAGGTGTTTCATTTTAACAATAGTCACCCTACATGTTTTAACTAAACACGGCATCAATGTGAGCTTTAAACCAACAGCCCGATCTGATTTATCATACAGAGCTGTAGCCTACACCCTTGACAATGACCCCCGCTGGTTTAAGGTGTGCCAGTGAGCCAGCGTGCACAACAGGTGTTTTTCATGGCAGACATTTGGCAGATATAACACAAACAGTGGTTTTATTCAAATATCCCAGTGGGATACATTATACACCAGTGGCCTGAATCTGAAGCAGCTGAAAGAAATTCTGCTCTACGCTGATTTCATTTCTTTTACTTCCTACCGTCTGCCGTCAAATGCCTTCCTTGAAGAACATCTCAAAGACAGCCTTGACAATGAAACAGCTGACTGGGATGTCCCCATTATTTGCCTCCATAGCAAGTTAAAAGCAAAAAGTATCCCCTGTGAGGAAGGTTTGCAGTTGTTCTAGGGCTTAAAATAGTCTATTAATTGTACACAATGGAGCATGTTCAAGGAAGTTTTTTTTCACCGTGTATGTGTGATTAAAGTTTCAGTACCTGTGGCGGAGGTGGTTGGCGTGGAGGAGGGTCGGGTGGAGATCCTGCCCCAGAAGTCAGTTGAAGACACAGACAAAGATTTCACAGGTGGGGATTCTCAGGTGTCACCGCTGTCAAATAAATAAATGATAACATGGCCTGAACTATTGTACGTCTTGAGCCGCTGAGTTTTAAATGACACCAGAATAATACGAATACATATATGGCTTCGCTGCTCTCGCCCAGAGAGCAGCAGTTGATGTTGTGGTTTTACATCATGGTTTCAATTTCTTTATCTGTCATCTTCCTGCAGTTTTCTACGTGAAGCGTAGCAGCGGTGGGGGTTCCGGTGGGTTGCTATGGAGACTGGGCCGGACCCAGTTCAGCTGCCCCAGTCGGGTTCTTCGAGACCAGTGGACGAAACACCTGAGGGCCGCTCTGAAAACTCACAGTAGGGACGAATAATAGGACAAGGCACTACGCTGACATTCTGATTTTGACAATCTTTTACTCTTAGATTTAACTACTTTTAACTGCATGTCGGAGGTCTTTCCCAAACCTGGAATATTCCAAATGTATCTTCCAGGTCCGTTGCGTCCACATAGACTGTTGGTGTTCATCAACCCGTTTGGAGGAAAGAAAAAAGGAAGACAGATCTACCATTCTCTGGTTGCTCCTCTTTTTGAACTGGCTGGTATCAGCTCTCATGTAATAGGTAAAAAACTTCTGTTGTCTGCTTTGTTCCTCATGCAAATACTCGATGCTCTTCCAGGTACAATCTTATTATCTGATGTGTGATTAATGATTTTCTGTGTAATCACAATATTTACTGTTTAGTGACTGAGCGGGCGAACCAGGCCAGAGACCATCTCCTGAAGAAAGACCTGACGGGCTTTGATGGGTAAGCACCATCAGCACCACAGAGTAAATAGTGTGGCAGGAGACCATTATACCAGCTAAGCTTGCTGGGAGGCGCTTTCATAACAGAAACTCTTGTGTTTGTTTATACAGTGTGGTGTGCGTGGGCGGGGATGGCATGTTCAGCGAATTACTTCACGGTTTGGTCGGGCGGACACAACAAGAGGCAGGCCTTTGTGAGAATGATCCCGCTGTCGCTCTGCAGCCTTGTCCGCTTCACATCGGCATCATCCCTGCAGGTTGCCGAGCGTTCATAAAGCGACGTCGTCAGATGTAGAGCCATGATGCCCTCATTCTGATGCGTTCTGTCTCTTGCAGGCTCTACAGACTGTGTGTGTTACGCCACTGTGGGAGTGATAGACCCCGTTACTTCAGCCTTGCACATTATCATCGGTTCGTTGTTTTTTAAAATCAAGATCAACTTTAAGCACCATAATTAGCCAGCAATGCCCTCTTGATTTCCCACAATACCTTGCAGGAGACTCCCAGCCTTTGGATGTGTGTTCAGTTCATCATTCCTCCGCTCTGGTGCGATACTCTGTGTCTCTGTTGGGCTATGGCTTCTATGGGGACGTACTGGCTGAGAGTGAAAAACACCGCTGGATGGGGCCTCTCAGATACGACTATTCAGGTCTGGACTGACGGTTCATTTAGGGAACAGAAATGACTTCATGCTGTCTTACATTACATGCTGTTAGATTATCTTTATTTATTTTAAGGTTAAGAGTGAAAAAAAAACAAAACAACATCCTGAAACTGCAACCGATAGCGCTTTGACCAAGATGAAAGGTCTTAATGTGACCCATATGTTCCTTTTTTTTGTACATTTTATGCAACAAACCCACAGCGTATGTTCCCTTTTTAGAATGTGGCGCACAAAACTGATGTACATTATTAGCTTACCAAATGTTTTCCTTTGTGCAGGCACTATGGTGTACCTGAGCAACAGAAGCTACTCCGGCACAGTGAAGTATCTACCAGCGGACCCACTGCTCTCCAGCCCCAGAGATAAAACACGCTGCCTCGCAGGGTAAAACGCAGACAGTTTCATTTCATATACAAGAAAGAAAGAAAGAAAGAAAGAAAGCTTACAGTGTGCACACTAGACCACACTCATGGTGGTGCTTCAGTACCATAAAACTTTCAGACTGTGTGTTATCTGTTGTGCAGATCTACTTCCCTGTTCTCATAATGTCGTTTCTCATCACCTGTGTTTTTTCTTCTGTACATTTCCTGCATCACAGAGGTGAATTTAACCATTATTCCCTCATTGTGTTGTGGCTGGGACTTAGCGATGCAATGTGGCAACAAATGTCAACCCAACAATACAACCACAAGGGTAGTGTTCAAGATAAGGTGAACGTTTTGGAGGAAGTCCATAATGACAACTGCAATTCAAATAATTCTGCCTCTCAGTTTTTTTTGAGTCCTAATCAAAGTAATCTAAGGATGATTTGCTCCACGTGCAACTCTAAACCTTTTTAATTAGAAAGAGAGAAAGTTGTCTACGTGAGTTACATCATTGTTATTGAAGCGGCAGGGAAATGGTTCAAATTCACAGTTTGAGACACGACTGTAACTGCCACCACCCGCAGCGAGGACTCAGGTGTTGGTTGCACCTCAAGGAGGGTAGGAAAGCATGGCAAGAGGAACTTGATCTAGATGAAAGGTGAGCCTTGGCCTCCTGTTAGAGTGTGCAGAGCCTTAGTCTTTGTCTGAGGCCGCCGCTTCTGGCTGTCGGCACATGGTTTATAATGCTCTTATGAATGGGTGTCAAGGTCGAGGAGCTTGTTATTTCACAGACTTCAAGCAGAGTGATTTTCTGTTTCTTGTGTCGTATGTGTGTGTGTTTAGGTGCGGTGTGTGCTCCAGAAGCACAGAGAGACTTTTCCCCCATTCATCAGACTCAGGCTCCCTGTACAGCTCCCACTTCAGTCAGTTCAGCACTGACTCCGAAGGTAACAACGCAGATGCAAATACAAGTACAGCGTTCTTGCATGTTTTGCATATTTCATCCTATTTGTCACATGTCTTGCATACTGCAAAGCGGTCTCTTTTGGCTTGTGATCCCTTGAAATCAGGTCAAATTGTCAGGATTTACACGCTGACCGCAGTGCAAATCTTCTTAATCGTCTTAATTTAAATGGGGCTAAAGAGGTGACGTCATCCAAAGCTTCACAAGAAAATTAACAAATATTAGAAAAAGTGAAAGAACCCTTTTGTAGCAGAAAAACGTTATTTCTCCTCCTCTTTTAGAATCATCAGCTCATGAGCTCTGGGGCAGCGGCCTCCTAAGGGAACCACTGTTTTACGTTACTGTCTGAAGTATACACTATGTTTAACACTTTGCAGAGACTATTATATATTAGTTTTTACTTTTGAACCCTCCAGACAGTCCTTGCAGTCCCTGATGTACCATTTTATCTGGAAAATTAACCAAATCTAAGTGTAACATCATAACATTTCATCAAAACTACTTTATTCTACATGTATCATTTAACATTTTGGAAAAAATAAATTATTTAACCTCACCAGGTTTGGTAAAAAAAAACAAAAACATACCATTCTGTGCTCCTCAGTGCAACCGTGAAGCCATTAGTGACTCTGCTGTGACCAACAGTCATGTGGCAAAGATTAGGCGACTTTAGATGTAGTAAAACATCTATAGTATGTAGAGTCACCTTTTTTTTTTTTCATTGGTAACACCTGTGGGCACTTGGGAAAATGTTGGACATGTTGATACCAAGGTTTTTCAATTTTTGTAAAGAAAATACTTTAAGAAATTTAACTTTTTCCTCATTCTAATGCAGGGGTGTCGAACTGCGGTCCTTGAGGGCCGCAATCCTGCATGTTTTAGATGTTTCCCTCTTCCAACACACCTGATTCAAATGATCAGCTCATCATCAAGCTCTGCAGAAGTCTGATAACGATCCTGATCATTTGAATCAGGTGTGTTGGAAGAAGGACACATCTAAAACATGCAGGATTGTGGCCCTCGAGGACCGGATTTCGACACCCCTGTTCTAATGATTTCTGGTATTATAATTGTGCTGGCAGCCATGGTTTTGCTGTTCCCATATACAGTCGTCCTCAAATGTGTTCATACCCTCCCGTTAAAGAAGGAAAAAACAGCTGTCACTGAAATAAGTTGAAAATTTGAAATACAAATTAAATGGGAATCATAATATTGCTTTTGAATTGTGGTTCAACAGAAATAGAAAAAAAAGAAACAAACAATAAAAAAAGAACAAGCAAACAAGCATGATGGGACCCGTAGACTAATATTTAGTTGAACAACCCTTTGAACCAATCACTGCAATCAAGTGTTTTCTGTAACTCTCAGTCAGACTTCTGCACCTGTTGACAGGTATTTTGGCCCACCGCTCATCAGCAAAGTGCTCTCATTTGTCGGGGACAGTTTTTTTATTTTTTTTAACCACAATTCAAAAACACTGTCTTATTTCACTAAATTAGAATTTAGCAAATATTTATTTATTATTACTTTTTTTCAGTTTCGAGTTATTTGAGTGACTATTATGAATTTTGCCTTTTCTTTAATAGAAGGGTATGAATACATTTGACTGTAGGTGCAGGACTTCATATTGCAGTGAAAATGAGAGAAAATGTGACGGGAGCAAGAAATGTTGAGAAACTGCTTGACATTCAGAGGGTTCATAAGAATTTAGTATTTTTGGGTTATACTGTTACTGTCATGGACTAGTAGTACGGCCCTTGTCAGAAGTATCTGTGATGCTTTTTTTTAAAGTAGCATTGTCTCTTTGTTTTTGTTTTTTGTCCTCAGGTGAGTGGGTGAGCGTCGAGGGCAGGTTCAGGTGCCTCTCTCTGACTTGCATGTCCAGCTCATGTGCCAGGAGTCCTCAGGGTCTTTCTCCGTCTGCTCACCTGGCGGACGGAACAGGGGACCTCATCCTCGTATGGGACACTCACCCTCTGAGCTTCCTCAAGTTCCTCTACAGGCACACGAGCACGCAGGACCAGGTTTGGGGATTGTCACGTAAATAACCAAAGCTGGACTGAGAAAGTTTAAAAAACTGCTTGACCCAATCTCTGTCCCTCTATTTCTAGTTCGACCTGCCCTTCGTAGAGGTCCACCGCGTGAAGGCGGTCCGTTTCTCTGTGCCGTCTGGCAGAGAGGAGCAAGAATATGAAGAAATTGGAGGGCTCAGCAGCGAGACAGATGGAGAGAGAGAACATGTGGACACTGTAAGCAGAAATGGATCTCAGCAGCACCTGGCAGAGAGAGCCACGACAAACGAGCAGAAAACAGCGACCCCCTTCCTGTGTGGTCTGTGCTGCAAAAAATCTCCTGCCGTGTCGGTGTGGAACTGCGATGGAGAGATTCTGCCGTTCACCGAGATCCTCTGCAAGTAAGAAACCCAACCTGTTGCGTTTTGGGCAGTCTTATACTGTATTAACCTTTCGCTGTTATAAATGACATTGAATACTAATTGAAGTTCAGTAATTCACCAGAAAAATAGTGCAATTTTTTTGTGTTTTTGTCATCAGTGTTGTATTTTGTTGTGTTCACACTCAGGATTCATGGCCAGTTGGTGCGTCTATATGCCCGGGGCATCGAAGACAGAGCCGCCGTACACAACAGCCAGGAGAGGGACGAGTGTCGAAGGATGTGCATCCCAAAAAGTCTCACCTAAATTTTGGATAATGGAGGAAAAAAACCCTGAAGAATAGCGTCTATATGGCGATGCTAATTAATTTAAAGAATAACCAGCCGCACAATCTGTCATGGCCAAAGAGTTCCTAATATTTCAGATGCTTTTATACATTTTCTCATTGTAATAATGAAAAAATATCTATTTATTCTGAAACGTGTGTGTGCTTGTCGAACACTATTCTTTAAAAACACTGTTTAATAAACTCTACAATTATCTGTAGTGCAGGTGGTTTTGCACAAAACTTATTTAAAGGTCCCATATGGTGAATTTTTTTTTTATTGTGTTTTGTGGTTGTTCTAAACTTGGTGATGTAAAATAAAAGCTGTTAAGATATGAAGATGTTTACTTCTGATGTTCCTCAAGTTGACAGCAGCAGCTCTAAAACCAGAGGTTATGGAGAGTTACAGAAAACTACCGTATACAATAAAAAGGTTGACCCTTTTATGCTTCTGTGCTTTATTGTTGCCAACCTTAGTTCACAAGTGCAGTTTTTCTTTGAAACTCATCCCAAAAAAAGCATCATTTGTATTGTACAGAAACAATCAAGCAGTAGGAAACTAAACTAAACTGGATTATAAATCAAAAACATTTTAAAAGTTATCTTCACTCTAAGTGTCTCCCATACTAATTGATTATTAATGCATCACAGTGTATTTGAAATCATAAGGGAAGTGGGAGAAAGACGGAAAGTACAATAGTGCCAGAGGCAAAGTTGTTTAAACACATGTTTGTCCTCGCTGTACTTCCGACAGCCCTTCGAGTACAGTGCACACTGCTCAGTGTGTAATAAATTGTGTATGTGGTTCCAGTTAGGCCACACTCCTGGTAGAGACAAAGTGACAAGACACAACATCAATCTGGAGCAGGCAGGTAACAGAAATCAAACTCATTGTAATGTCAATTGTTATAAAAAATAATGTTAAAACTCATTCGTACATCGTGAGAGGTTAATATAATGTTAATAACAGTAACGTACAGTTTTGATTTGAAGTTAGCTGACGACACCTACCTGGAAGTTGTTCTTACCTGAAGCAGGACATTTAAATGTGTCTCCTTTATGGCCTATCATGGGAAGCACCTGTTCATACAAACCAGACCAACAGGTCCTTCTGGTACTATCACTACTTGCCGTTGCTTTATGCCATCATCACCATAGTTCAGTGATGACTAAACACAGGCCCGCTGACAGCAGAGAGCAAGCTCATAGTCGTAACACTCACAGTGTCGCTATGACGACATTGTAATTTCATACATCCGATAATATCACATTGAATGCTGTTTTTCCTGCTCTACAAGTTTCACATAGGCCACAGTTGTAGGCGTTTACAATGCTTTTTAAAGAAAGTGCAGGCAAAAGAGTGAATCATGATTTATTCAGAAATGTCAGATTTACAGGTCGGATCAAGCTGTTACAGGTTTTGTTCAAACTACACATTCATTCTGGTATGATTGGGGGTAAAAGGTGGTTTCTTTTGTACATGCAGACAAAATCAAAGCGGTACAGCAGTGACTGTGTTTTATTGTGTGTAAACGTTCTTACAGTGGTGTTAATATTTTCACAAGCGTGTGTGCATGTGTGTGACAGAAAGCATCAGGCTGTGTGGGGCTGCACCCACTTGTATGTTCCCTCATAGCGGAATCCGGCCTTCTTTACCAGATCGTCTGCTTCGCTCGGGCCACGACTGTAGTGCCGAGAAATGCAGAGGAAGAAGGAGGATGTGTTCTGTGCAAAGGATAATGTGGATTGTGGATTTATTTCTTTCTCATAAAGCAGAGTTTACCTTCCATACGTGTAAGGAATAGGGCTCGTCTTCTCGCCTTCTATTTGGTGGAGGAGGGGGGTAAAGATCCTCCAGGCCTCCCGCAACTCATCACTGGGACAGAAAAGAGCAGCAATTCAGATGGAAATACAACTTCCCAACAAGTTATCGATGACCTTTTATAACAAAACTACCACTAAGTGCTGAGAAATCTGGTTTATGTACATATCTTAAAATCTAATATTTGGTGTGACAAGTGACATCTTTTCTCAGTGAGCTTTGACAGTAAACAATACAACCAACCTGCGGACAAAGTGCATCTGATTTCCACAGAAGACATCCAGTATCAGTCTCTCATAAGCGTCTGGTAGCTTCACGTTCTACAAATAGATGGAAACTGTTGAAACTGCATACATGCTTACGTCAGGGTCAGTAACCCACAGTATGTTAATACAAGGATTAGACAAATAACTTTAAAAAAAAAAACCTCCGCCACAAAAATGAACTGCAGCTTCATATTGTGTTACATTTTTTACAAACTTATTTGGTGCAGCTCTATACCTCCACTCAAGATACAATATAAATACATAAAGAGGGACTACATTGACTTCTTTGAGTTGAATGAGCCTATGAGCACCTTGTATCTGCTCTTGTAGGTGAGGTCCAGCTCCGTCTCCTCTGGGCTGAAGTAAACTCCAGGCCTCTTGGTCATCATCTTCAGGTAAATGGCTTCGTCTGGCTGGACTCGCACCACCAGCTCGTTCCTCTGACAGCGCTCTCCGAAGATGTCTCCGGGCACGTCGGTGAACTGCAGACGAACCTCTGCTTTACGCTCGTTTAGAGCTTTTCCACAGCGCAGGATGAAAGGAACTCCTGATGGATGGAAGGAATGTATGGATGAATGGAGAAGTGTGTCAGGGAGAAAATCAGAGACGAGTCAGAAAATTTAGACTGAGAAAGACGTGTGGAATAAAGTAGTGATAGACTGACGTGGGTTTTCCGTGGGGCCAATACCGATGTTGATTACTGTTAATCAAGAAAGGCCTGTAACCGATATTTGGAGTCGATATGAATTACATGTAATGTTTTAACAGCATGTGATAGCGGGGAACCTGTCATTCATAACTAGGCTTCCTCATTAATGACTTTAACTGAATGTGTAAATTAGAAATAGGAGGGATTAAATTAAGATGTTCTCTTCTGTTTATGTGGGATCAACTGATATTGATAATTTGGTCTCCTGCACTTAAGTCTGCTGTTCTTCTCTGTTTTCTTAATCTTTTATTATTACATCACTTCTATTGGTCACAAAGGTCAATATTTTAAAGCATTATTAATTATTGTTTTCCATAGTCTAGCCGCTAGCCGTTAGCATATCCTTAGCCGCTGTGAGATCAGCCAGTTTCCTAGTTTGTGGCAACGACTTGTGTTTCTTGTTGAGTTTTCAGACCACACATTGACTGAGGTGGCTGCATCACACCTGAGGTCGTGCTTTTAGTTTATCAATAATCTGCTAATAAAAGAATAATGATACCGACAATCAGAAAAATGTAAAATGCTGGCCGCAATAACCAGTCAGGCCAGAATCAGTCTATTCCTAAAACAAAGAAAGCTGGACTATAGTCTCACCATCCCATCTTTCATTCTGGACGTAGAGCACTGCAGTGGCAAACGTTGGCGTGCAGGAGCCTTTTGGTACGGTGGGATCATCCAGGTAACCCAGCTTGGAGTGTCCCTCACCCTCGGGATCTCCAACATACTGCCCGAGCACCACATCTGACATGGTAACAGGAGCGATAGACTTCAAAACCTTCACCTACAGCACATAATAAAAAAAAACACACACACACAGGATTGCAGGCAACTGGAAGTCTAATCATTACGGACAATACATAAGATCCCGTCATCCAATCATTGATGTTACCTTTTCGTCTCTCACGTCATCTGGGCTGGTGGAAGCCGGTTTCTCCATTGCAACCAAACAGAGCATCTGGAGGAGGTGGTTCTGCATGACATCACTGCATTAAGAGGAAAGGACTGGAATCATTGCAAGTTTCCAGTCTAACAATACCAGTTTTTCATATTTATCTAAAGAAACATTCTCTCACCGAATGATACCAAAGTCATCAAAGTATCCTCCGCGGCCCTGGGTGCCAAAAGGCTCCTTGAAGGTGAGGACAACACAGGCCACACTGTTCCTGTTCCATATGGGTCCAAAAATGCGATTTCCAAACCTAGAAGTGGAAAAAAAATAACATACTTCCATAACAAAATAGAGGATGGAGAAGATGATGGGTAATGAGAACTCCTTTGGATTTAAACCTGAGCCAAAAATGGGGGTATTGAGTTTACCTGAGCACCATGAGGTTCTGGACCATCTCCTTTCCCAGGTAGTGGTCTATGCGGTAGATTTGATCTTCAGCGAACAGGGAGGAAAGGTGGGCCGACAGCTCCTGTGAGCTCTGGAGGTCGCGACCGAAGGGCTTCTCAACAATTACCCTGTTCCAACCTCTGTCACAAACACAGCTGATTAGAATAATGTGATCTAACAGGATGTTAACCACAGACTTTCAAGGACCAAACAGATACAAACTTGCTGCTCATGCAGTGGTTTCTGATGTTGGTGCTGACATGGTGGTAGACACTGGGCGGCAGAGCCAAGTAGAAGAGTCGGTTGGCGCCGGCTCCTCCAGGCAGAGATGACAGCAGGTGGTTGAGTTGGTCGAAGGAGCTGCCGTCGTCATACCTGCCGCTCAGGTAGGAATTCTTACTGAAGAAGGCTGATAGACAATCACTGTCTTCATCAGTAACCTGAAGGAAATGTGGAATGATTTCTGAGAGTTCACTCCAAATAATGCATGATCCTGCCAAGAAGAAACCTTAAACCTACTACCTTCATATGAGGCAGACATGCAGCCTTGATGTCCTCCACAGTCAGGTTAGAGCGGGCAAAACCCACAAAGTATGTGTCATCTGGGAGCAGGCCATCTCTGAATAACCACCTAGACAACAGAACAGTCAGTCAAAAGCTGTAATGCAGAACACTTTGGTTAAGGTTCAAACTATTCCTAAATATGATGTAAATAAACAACTTCTGCTCTGTGTGTGCTGCAGTTTCTTTACTCACCACAAAGTTGGATAGATCTTCTTTTTAGCAAGATCTCCCTGTGCAAATAATACAAATTTAAAAAAAAGATCTGATTAAGAACCCTCACGGCTAATCACTGCGAGAGCAAAGAATCATTCGAGAGTCCAAAGTCAACTTTGAAAATAAGTGGACACAGTGGAGTGACCTGAGTGGATCTGTTGAGCAACACAAAATCAAAAACTAACCAGACCATAAGCAAATTTGAACACACCCTCTTTGCAGGACGCTGAGATAACGCAAAATGTAAACAAATTGCTGGTTATGACAAAAAGAAGAGAACATCAAATGACTGCTGGTTTTGGAAATGTCCCAGCTCAATAGCAGGGGCAGTTAGTAAGTTTCTGTTACAAAATGTTTCCCTTTTTTTTGGTGCTTGACAAAGGAAAAAGTAGATGCAGCACATTTTAGCCAACATGTGCTCATACACTGGCTTTCATGCTCCGATTACAACACTGCAATATTCCCCAGTCGGGCTTTGTGCCACCTCTGCTGGGCCCCTGTCACTTCCAGCACTCCACTAAAACTGTTTGGAATTTGGTGCAAAACAAAGTCTAAATAGAACAAGTGCTCCCACAGCTACCAAGACATCATGAAAGAGTTATAAGGAGGAATTGCACCATGTCTCATTTTAAAAACAGAAGGCGTTATTTTTGTCATGCTGTAACAATTTCAAGTTTGTACTCACAGACGCTCCCAGTATGATGAATATGTGAGCATTGGAACGACTTGACTGCTCCTCTCCATAGAGCTCCTTCCTGAGCTGTCCAAACACTTCAGAACGAGTCAAAGGCTCAGTGCTCATCTTCTGGTCCATCTGCTGTCAGTCTGTCCCCACTGTGACCACTCATTTCCCTACAGCTATACTGCACACATTGTATGGTGAAATTTCAGTTGTCATCCTTGCCTTGCACAAAAAAAACTCAGCGACTCTGTGCTGCCACCTGTTGTTACAAAGAAAAAACTGCTTTCCTGTTATCGCTTCCTCGTTAACCTACAGCACATTATGTCTTTACTTTAACCCCTGTAGTGCAGCGAGTTGCGTGTAAAACATTCCATGCAAGAGTGAAATCTGCACATTCCATCAGATCAGGTTTGTCGATCCTATTCATTCACTGAAACTCGCATTTCAAGACGAGGGCGAAGCAGTTGGCAGGAATGCATCTTGCTCCTGAACCACTCCTCAGAAAAATGTTGCGCAAACATTAACAGGTGCCTTCAACAAAGAAAGTCCTAGCGCTTTGTTGCAGGTGGCGATCGTATCAGCGCACGACCTTTGACACGGAAGTCCTCACAGGTTGCAAAAATAAGTCATAAATTGTATCATGAAGCATTTGCAGATTGGCAACTTTAAGCTACAGCAGCTCAAAGTCCCAATTATTTAATATTTGTAGTTTCAGTAACTACAGCAAAGACTTGGAGTTAATCATTCCTTCAGGACACAGTACATTTTGTAAATCAGTACCAAGCATCTACAGCAGAAGGAAAGTTCTAGTACTAATACAAGATCAGTACATGTTTACATACAATAGGATAATTAACCATGAAAGGACAAAGATGCTGGTTATAACTTCAATGTATTTCCCTTTTTTACGTATGAAACCTTTAGAAATTGTAATTTGTTAGTATGATGTTAAAAAAAATAAAGATTTATCTTATATTGTATACAAATGATCATTTATCTGACACAGTGATTTTTATTTTAAAAAAAACAGACATTTCATATATTATTCTGTATTTAGACTTGTTTTCACATTCCAACATTCACTGTCAGCAAAGAAAGTCATTAATAGTGAGTTTTCAAGCTGGAGTGTAAAATCCAGTGAATTAAGGTGATGGCAGTTCACAGTCTTTATTGTGATCAGCTTTGTCACAGTCGAGCTGCCACACCTAAAAGCAAAGTCCATACTCTGTCTGAAGATCCCCAACCACCGTTAAATGTCCTTCCTGAGTTTCCTTCATAAATACATTAAAAATAAGTTAAGACCAACCGGAGGGTCTCAAACGGATGCGACTGTCTTGACTTTGTCTTCGACTGTACATTCAGCACAGCCACATGCCTCAAGCATCAAGCAAAGTCCACTTTGATCAGTGTTGATTTGGCTCCACGGAGACGAGTCTGTGGGGGGACACAAGGTGCCAGAAGTCACCTGACGGGCAGACCGGGAGGTCAGCTTATGGTCCACTGCTGAAAGAGATCAGCAGCATTACAGGAGTCCATCTGAATCTGGCCTCCTTTGAGCTGCAAACATTTCCCGCTGCTGGGATTCTTCAGAAGATGTTCCTGGAGAGTAAAATAACAAGAGAATCAATAATGAGGCTCAAATTAATTTACAAACAGACTGCATGTCACTTGTCTGTGCTCAACATAGAATGGTTAAAAAATAGTTTGATGCGGGAATGTTAAACATCATTATTATCCTTTTATCTAAGACTTTGATGAGAAGATTGCTGACGTCTTCCTGGTCTGAATAAAGCTACAGCCAGTATCAAAGCTAGTTTTGTGGTTTTCTGGTAGTATATTAGCCAGAATATTTCTTTGCTGGTTTTAATATGTTTCTGGATTGTCCATTGGTTGTCCAGCAACTTCACGGTAACATTCAGTGCTAGAAAGCTCACGGTTTTCCTTATTTCCAGCCATTATGCCAAGCCCAGTTAATTAGCTGATAGCTGTTATCCATCCAGGAAGTGTATTTGAATAAATGCCAAACTTTTTCTGTAAATCAAGCCCCACGCGTTCCTTACCTCTGTAAAGATCCACTCCTGTTGTGGTGACAAGCTGGTGCCCTTCCCCTTCCGGTGGCACAGTTCAATCTTCACCGGCTCTGACTGGGCTGAGGCATGAAGACACAGCTGCTTGCCGATGTTATGACGCAACTCCTTTTGAGATGTATACTCAAAGTACTAGAAGACACAGTCATCCAGTTAGAACTCAATTGCTCAAGGGGGAATCAAATTATCTTTCAGACTAATTACTATTTCAGAGTTACCGCACCTGGTTGCCGCCCATGTTGTGACATTGGTACATGATCACAGGTTTACCTCCATGATTGTTCTCTCCAACATCCAGGCAGGTATTAGAACCAGCATTTCTAATCTGATGCAAACATTGACACGCAACAACAGTAAGATCCAGCCACAGTTATGCAACACATGCAGTGTGTACAATGCCATTCACAAACGCGACTCACTGCTCCAAATTTGTCTGGTGTTAAGTCTGGAATGAAGGCCTCTGGGTAGACTGTGTTTAGGAACCAGGTGAAGTTCTTGCACTGAAGCCGCTCTCTCAGTTTCAGGCGATCGGAGATGTCTCCGAACTTGTGCTATAGCAGTGAAGGGACAATACAGCCGCTTAGAATCACAATAGCACATCACCCTGTTGCAGCAGGAAGTATGAAGTCAAGTCATAAAAGCATCAAAGGAAGGGTGATAAACGGCACTGTATCAAGTCAACATGCAAAAACTGACCTCCCTGGCCATAGCTGCAGCATTATTGTTGCGACGATAGTAGATCTTCTTATAGTCGTCCATCCAGACTTCAGCCAGGCGCACCTGGTTGCGAGTGATGACCTCTGTGCCCTTGGGGAAGGTGTGGGGGCTCTTGGTGCGGAAGACGTGGCCGACCACAGAACAGGGGAGGATCTCTAGCTGACCCCCACACTGCCACACCTGTGAATCACAGGAGCAAGCACTCAGAGTCTAACCTAATAACTACAAAGAGACAAATTTAAGTTGTATGTGGAACTGTGAGAGCAAAGATAAACTGACCCTGAATGACATCTCCACATTCTCACCGCCCCAGATCTCCATCTTGTCATCGTATGTTCCAATGTGCTCAAAGTACTTCTGTGAGATCGAGAAGAGACCTCCAGCAAAAGTAGGCGTTCTGAAATTTTTAGAGGCAGACACAAAAGCTTTAGAGATTCAGATGATTCAGGATGTTCCAAGTGGAACCAAAGTGATCCTTCTTACTTTACAGGGTAGGTTTCGTCCTTGCGCAGCTTCTTTGCATCCTCTGGGATTGGCTCCCAGCCAAAAGTCAGGCTCCAGTCAAAGTTGCCCCGGTTGAAAGCGCGGTTGGTGGCCACAGGTTTGTGGAATTGAAAGGAATTGAGGTCGATGGTGACAATTTCTGGGCTAACTACTGCTGTGGGTTCCTCTACAATGCGGACCAACAGGGGTTCGAGCCAACCATGAAAACACTCACCTGAAAAAAGGACAAATATAACTTGATATTTCCTCCTTATTTCCAACAACATCAAGTACAAAGAGTGAAGAAGGATCATAGCTTGGTTTCATAGGTTTCCTGATGAAACATACAGCAGATATTTTAGTTTAACGTAGCAATTATTTGTAACAGCAGTGTCACTAATGTTGAGATTCAAGTATTCAAATCGGGTTTAGTTGGGATAACAAGCAGGTGAAGAAAAGCGTGTTTGTTTTAAATGGGCTACAATTAAGCGTTGTTGTTCTTTTTCATGCAAATATTTTCCAATGGTATAGGATATTTAGTTTTAGTATATCCCTCTGCAACAAGTTGTGCTGAGGTTTATTAAGCACCATGTGAAAGAGAAGGCAGTTTTACATTGTCCAAAAACACGGATAAATGATGGATGCATGGCTTTTATTACTGTATTTAGCTAAATAATCCTGATTATCTTTTTAGCCCATGTCATACAGTCATACTGCACAAACTGAATCTTTAAAGAATTGCTAGAAAAAATAAGATGCTTCCTTGCAGTCTTGCAAGCACATACACATTTCAGTTTAACTTCTTACTTATAATCCTGACAGTGCTATGACCCAGTGAGCGACACTGTGTATTGTTGTGTGTGTGCATTTCCTTACAGTGTGCATCGAGGAAGGTGAGCACTTCACCCTGAGCTATACTGGCACCCAGCAACCTGGCTGTGATGAGGCCCTTCCTCTCCAGCTGCCTCACCACACGGACGATCTTCAGCTGGCGCACGTACTCTTCGAGGCGGCCCTTCAAGTGCTCTGCAGAGATAAAACAACATTATCATTTTGCAAGTCGTGTCATCGCGGAAAGAAAAGTTGTCTAGTGCTTCATAAAGCACCTCAGTGCCACAGGGACAAAAAAAGTCAAACACTCATCATGTTTATACCCATGAGAGCACTGTCAGAAGAAATAGCAATGAAGTGGAAACACTGCTGGTAAAACTGGGTCACACTTCCCCTTTAAGAGCTTTATGACCACAATGACTGCCTACTTCTTATAAGTTTCATTCTGACTGAATCAACCAACCACATGTCATAAACGTTACAACAGAAAGCTGCTGCTCTGGTCGCCAAAGGATATGTTTGAATACAGTAGGAAACATGTAAATACACCCAAGGGTAACGGCATGCTCACTTATGATGAGAAAACTGCTGAAGATGTTTAAAGCTCAGTTCACAGGCCACTGAGCATTATTAATAAACAACAGATGCTGAAGCCGCTGATGAGTAGTGTGCATGACTATTTATCATCACTCAAAATCATTTCTATACCTGCTTTACTCAGGGCTGCTCAGGCTAACATCAAATGTTAAAGTGTGTCTGTAAAGTGTTTAAACATATTTCAAAACAAACGGATAAAATGAAATTAACACATTACAGCACCGCTTTTTTTTTCTGTTCAAAAAGGGTCAAAACATTTTGATTACATCTACACTGTTGAGTATTTTAAAGACAATGCTTAGTTTTTCCATATATTTTTTTGGTGCGAGGACTGAATTGATGTAGCACCTAAAATATTGTTGTTGGTGGAGCTTCAAGCACCTGATTTGTATTTTAAATTACATTAGATTCATCTTTACATTACATGCAGTTTGACATCTAGCCAAAGAGTGTATCAAAAGTGTCTATGCAGAAAACAAATAACACACCAGTGAGGTGTTATTCATAGTAAAAGGGGCTTTTAAAGGCGGAAAAGACTGAGACAACTCAATTAAGCTTCTGCTGCACAATACTGTTTTCCATTCTAAAAGAGAGCAATTATCTTTTTGCAAAGTTTTGTAATGAAATTCAAACATTTAGCATGGACTGTAAACACTTTTGTGTGAAAACATCTTGCGAAGCTGCACTCAGAGCCTGACAGACAGGCCTCCTTTACCACAAGTGTCACCTCTGCAAACTCTCACTGAGGAGGTGGTGCTCTCGGAGGATTCTCTAACACTTATATAATTTACCGCAGCAAGCCTTGTGGACATGCCCTTCGTAAAACACACAGGGTCATTCTCATTTATGACACTGCAGATAGCTGTCTGCGTGCACATCACTCTCACTGCAAGTCTCCTGAGCTATTTGTAAAACCCCACTGGCTCACTGTTGTGTGATCAAGCTGCTAAAATCCCAGGCGAACACAGTTTCTAGGTTGTCTTATCAAAGCCGATGCGGTGGCTGGAATGTGGCCCTAAAAACTCAGAAGACCATGTAAACTAATAAATTACTTATAACTTCCTCGATGTTCAACATTTATTTCCCCCCTTTAAAAAAAAAAACACACAAGAGCTTCCTGGTTTTTTTTATACAGTTAAAACTGTCTGTTATTAAAAGTCAGTCTTCACTTTTACTGTGACATCATTAAACCTGTATCATTCCAGTAAGGAAATCATTTCTGTTTTTAAGATTAAAAGCAAATGAAATATTGTGTTTGCATCAACTATGGACAGAAAATATTGCTACTGTGTGCATTGACAGCTCTCTACCTGCTCTGCCTGTCTGTGACATTTTTATTCACATTCATTTTACTGACACACCAACAAGTTGGCAAAATGATGAAGCTTATATGTGTGTTTCTCACTCACAGCCTGATGAAGCTACAAAGCAAAACTCAAGTTTCTTATCGTCATGCAGCTCAAAAGCAAACTCTTGTAGTTTCCTGTCATCAAGGCCTGCGTGTATGTTTCACCATGAGTGCATGTTTATAATATATCGTACCTGCAGTACTGGCATCATCTACCAGGATGATCTCTTTGAGCAGGATAGCAGGAGATGTGTGCAGGACGCTATGCACTGTCCTGAGGAGTGTGGACCAAGCCTCGTTGTGGAAGACTATCACCACGCTGGTGGTAGGCAGAGGAGGACAGCGACGAAACTTCCTTTCCACACACCTGGGCGAGGCGAGACATGTCAAAATACACAAAGAGACAAAAGAGGTGAGTGAGACAGAAAGGCATATCTGATTAAATGAAAGTCAGAGAAGGTCCTGCGGCGCTGCACATAATAGACCATTGTTTGCAGATATTCAAGATCTGCTTACAAACACTCTAACTCGCTTAATGTGCGGCACTCGTAGTAATCAGCTCAGTCTCAAAGCCGCTGATAAACACCGTAAAGGGAAATATCTCAGGTCCAATCAGATTGTAAAAATTTCAAGTTGGACAAATATTTGTAGTGAATGAAGTGTTTACAACACGGACAATGTCTCAGTCTCCATTTAGCCCAGATACTGCATGCTGTTCAAACTATACCCAGGAATCAAATTAGGCTTTTAACAGAGTTTTTTTGTTTGTTTGTTTGTTTTTTTAAAAAGAAAATAGTATGTAAACAGCATGTAAATAATTATGTCATCAAGCATGACCACAGCTGAGGTCCACTGTATTATCTGACCTGTGAACATGTCAGCACACTTGTTGGTAAAACAGTGATCAGTTCACAATATGACAGATGATTCTGAGAACATGCTCTTACTCCGGAGGCCTTGTGTCATCCCCAAGACTTCGGCTGAGTGAGATCCGGTCACTGGCGAACTGGTTGAAACAATGCCGTGTCATGCCTTCCTCTTTCTCCTTCTCCTCCTCTGGGCTCATGTGGTCTTTTTGAAAGGGCCTCCCATCAGCCCCAGGGGCTTGGGAGTCCTGAGGAGGTCTCTCTAGATGAGGTTTGAGTTCAGCTTGAGTGTAAAATCCAGAGGGGCAGTTGGCGTCTTCGGTGGGCTGATCCTGCACCGGTGGCGGCTGCGGGGCTCCGATCTGGAAGCCGATGTTGTTGACAGCGTCTCGGACCATGACCATCATCTTGTCCTTCCTGTTCACTAGGTCCTGCAACCAGGGGTCCCCAGCTGATGAAGAGCCAACGTCCCTCTGGAGAACCACCAGGGCCACCATGAAGATAGTCCCCCCAAGAAGCACCAGCTTTAGCGGGGACATACGCCGGCGTGGAAGCAGACGCATGTTTCAGAGTGGGTGTTGCTCCTTAAGGCTGTAAAACAGAAATAAAAATGAATTACAATGGAATAAAAGCTGGCTGCCTGCTGACTGTTGGTGTCCTGAGGGGTTTCAACCTAACTTTGATAACTTCTTCATTCAAAACACACTTCTTTGTAATCCATACCTGTTTTACTTGCTATTCCTTCAGCAAAAAGAGAAGACAAGCGAGAGCAAAATCCCATGAACCGGTTTGTGCGTCTTTGAAAGTGTCATAGCAGCTGGTTACTGAGTCAAGCTTGCTCCTCCCTCTCGGTCGCTTTAGGAAACAGCCCCAGAGGGCGGGTGGAGCGAACAAACACACCACACCTTTCAGTAAACACCTGAATTCACCTGTTCCGGACACAGTCCTCCAGGACCCACGTGGCAGCAGGTGAGCTGTGACGCCGCCCGCTCAACCTGTAGCTCCCATGCTGGTTAATAAGTGACACACAACGCCCCGCTCAGACACCTGCACTCAAAGACACATCACCAGCAACGACAAGCTGTCAACTGCTACAGGAAGTGGAGTTTGCTACGTGGAGCACAGACAACTTCACCCAGACCTGGCACAATGGCAGACTGTATTTCCTGCTTTGTGAAACAGGATATCACGGCAATGTAGGACATCTGTGTGTCCTTAGGTGATCACTGTAAGAGACTCACTCTTACTTGGTCATAATTAATTTACTTTATTCTCAAGCCAGCCGACTTCATAATTGATTCAAGAGGGCACTCTTTTGGTGTTCTAGAAAAGGCAAACAACCACAAGCCACTGTGGGTTGTCTCTAATGGGAAACCAAAATCATGACAGAGGAAGAGGAAAAGAAAAACATAGAATCAGACATTATTAGGGCGGCAACTACCGATTATTTCCACTGTGGATCCATTTGTTGGTTATTTTCTTGATTAGTTATCTTTAAAAGTGTCAGAAAATGGTGCAAAAATGTTGATCAGCCCAAGCTCAAGATGACAAATGCTTTGTTTCATGCGCACCCCCAAAAGATTCAGTTTGTTTGTTTTAAATACTATAACCTTTAAATCAATTATAAAAAAAAATTAGATGGTGATGGATTCAATAGCTGATAAGTAATTGATAAATCAACTAATTACTGCTGAAGTCAATATGTGAGCCCGTGCTTTTGACTGGCTGCCAAAATACCAATATGTGACATCTGAATGCTATGAGGAAGTCACGAGATCAGGACAATTTTACAGATCAACAGCTGGAAATACGTGTTGGCACCATTAGACAGTCAGAGGATGATTACATATAAAAGCAAAGGAGACTTCCAGCTGACAACATGACAGCAAAATGAAAGAGGAAGAGCTGCAAACATCCTGCTTTCACTGAGTGTACGGCAGGCCATGCACAGCTTTAAACTCCACACAGAGAAGGAAAAGAATGTGTCGTCGTCGTATAAACCCCGAACTTACATAGTGTGGCAACAAAAAAAAGAATATTGACCCCAAAGTGGACATTCACACATGCACTTTGTGGTTTCTACCGCTCCACAAATGCCGCCACTTACCTTAAAGTGAGGCGCAGTTGTCGCCCTCCTCACCTGGTCTCGCCGGACTTGATAGTTCTGGTTCAGTGTGTGAAGCTGACACGCGTTCGAGGCTCGTCTTGGAAGTTGCCAAACTGGAGTTGAGAGCGCGGCGGACTCTTGCGCTTGCAGACCGAACAGGTGCCATTAGTTGCAATAATTAGTGTGAGTGAGTCCCCCTGCTGGCCGCGCGCCTCTCCAAGCTCAACTCAGCGCGCCCCCAGAGCGCGCGCCGCTGCGTTGACAGTTTCAAGCACGTGCGAGGAAATAACACAAAATAAGAGAAATAAGGAAAAACTGTACAATAATTAATCATCAAAAACACTCCTACTGGCCACTTCATTAAAAACACCATATTTCAATAGTGCATTACCAGACTTATAATGTGTGTACAATGTTGAAATACATTCAGTTAACTCTAATTGTTTGTTAAGGCATTATATTGAGAGGAGAACATTCCAAACGGTCACCAACACCAATTTTTTAGACTTAAAATTTTCTGAACAAAAGTTAACATACTAAAGACCACGTATGTCATGGAAGTCTTGAGTTTCCAGTGACTAAATCGTGAAGTAATCACTGAAGCCCATGAGTCTTTGTCACAGTCATGCTTTTTTAGTTCTTTCCTAGATTTATTCTACTTCTTCTGGAAATTGGATCAACATCTGCTGGGTCAAAAATATACATACAGCAACTTGAATTGTCAGTTTTGGTACTGTAGAAAGCTGTGTTTATCAAAATGTCTCAGTGGTATGGTCTCCTAACTTCTTGTGAATGATTATGAGTCCTTTGAAACAATAGGGCTCAGAGGAAATTTACTCATTCGACTCAGCCACAGACAAAGGGCCTGACAAAGGAAATCAGTGACTTGAACAAGTCAGTTCAAAGCAGTTACAGATCCCAAAATCAGGCCAAGGAAGTCCTTTCTCTAGAATTGGCACCTTAAGGCTCGACTGAAGTTAGCTGCTGATCACATGGGCAAAGAAAAGGCCTTCTGGAGGAAAGTTATGAGGCCATCAAAACTGAGCTACAATGACCAGAAATGTGTTGGGGGAGGAACACCAAACCTACAGCCAGCATGGTGGTGGCAGTATAATGCTCTGGGGCTGTTCTTCTGCTGCCAGTGGCACTGGTGCTTTCCACAAAGTAAATGGAATAATGAAGAAGGAGGATTGCCTCCACATTCTTGAGGAAAACCTAAAATCATCAGTTAGAAGTGTTGGTCATCCTACATTCACCCAACTGGTCGAGGCAGATGTCCCTCCCTGAGCCTGGTTCTGTCAGAGGTTTTTTTCCCCCTGCGGGGGTTTTCGGTTCCTTCCCACTGTTGCGGACTGCTGAAGCTTATAGGGAATCCAAATGTTTTGGATTGTTGGGTGTTTCTGTCTCTGCCTTTGTGAAGTGCTATGAGATGACTTGTTGTTGTAAATATGCGCTATACGAATAAAATTGAATTGAATTGAATTGAATTGGTCTTGGGTGCAGTTGGTTGTTCCATTAAGACAATGACCCAAAACACACATCAAAAGTTGTGAAGACAATGGCTAAATAAGGTTGGAATTAAGGTTTTAGACTGAGCTCCCTATCGCTTCGACTTAAACCAAATCAGGAATCTGTGAACTGTGAGGAAGGAACAAGTTTGTGTCAAAAAGCCAACAAATGTAGTAAAACTGTACCGATTTTGTCAAGAGGAATGACACAAAATACAACCAGAAGCTTGTTGACGGCTACCAAAAGCACTAAAAATAGCTAAGTGGACGTTAAACCAAATATTAGCATTGCTGTATTTTTAATTATATTTCCAGAACACCTATAATAAATCTATAAAAGAACCAAAATGCATGATTGTTGTTTGTGATAAAGTTGCATAGGTTTTAATGATTCCACTGTAGAAAATTCATTCATTCATCACTGGAAACCCAGGCCTAGCATAATAAACATGGTCATATGTTCACTTTTGTTAGCGACTGTAAATGCGAAAACATAAAACTTAAATAACATCTGTACGGCTGTGTATAAAAACATTATAGGGGTCATAAAAATCCACTTAATGAAAGACCATTAGTGCTGGGTTGCATCAGACGGTGCAAGATGTACCTGAAGAAGTGGCCACTGATTGTACTGTACGTGTCCCTGTATCATGAATCTATTATAGTAGCATTAGTGTTTTTCATCGGGGATTAAGGGGAATTTATGTCACTTAATTAATGTTCAGCATAGAGTGCTGTAAGTGAACATTGCCGCTACCTCAACAAAAATACATTATTCATCTGCAAGCAATTAAATACTCTCTCCTGTATCACCCTCTTGAAACCGTAGACTGATTTATGCAGAAAAGGAGATGGAAGCGTCTCTCGGGTTACTGTCACAGGGAGAAATCTTGATTGCGTGCTGCTGATTGACATGAGATCTAAATTAAAGCTAACAAATAGAACACCGCTAAGCAGGCTAAAGCTGCAATGTGAAGTAAACAGTCGACTCATTATGTTTGTGTTCAAGGAAAAAACAACGCGTTTTGCGTAGGCAAAAATTACAAATAAACACAATCAATGCAAAAAAACCAGCCATTTATTGATTTTTTTATCCAAGGGGAATTTAATCAAATCAATCATTGCACTAGTTCTTAAAGTCTGCCACTCTTTTTAAAGGAAAAGGCAACAGTGTTTAGTTGACCTTTCATTTCAAGGACAGAGAGGGATCAGCGAAAGTGAGGGTTTTTATCGTAGCCTGTTAAGGCAGCATTTTTGGGCTCCGACAGAAAAGTGAGCGTATATTAACACAAAGTGTAAAGCTAGTTTAATTGTGAAATATTCCTTCACCTTCAGGAAACAACAATTCAGTTTTGTTTTCAGTACCAAAGGCAACATAAAGACTAGTTTACTTCAGTAGTCTTAATGTGGACAGACAAACTCATTACATACATTCAAATGATTATCGTTTCAAACAAATAATTTCCGGGGGGTTAACAAACCTCCATGTGCCAAATAAAAAAACAGGGTCGAATACTGTAGTGTAGAGTTGTGAATATTGGTCCGTGAAGTATGCAGACCTTAGCACTGCATCATCTCAAGGCAATACAGACATGAGCAGACAGAGAGTTTCTGCACACACTTAATCCTGAAGCTGTCAGGTAACCAGTTTACTTTGACATGTTGTAACACAATCAAAAAAACAAAACAAAACAACAACACACATTTCATAGGCTTTTGCTTATTTCAGTTGGAATGAAATCAGTCAGAATCACAGTCCAGTAAAAGGCGCAGTAGACATAATTCTCTTCAAATGATCATTTTGACAAAGAAAAAAAAAAAAATCAGGAATGGACACACAATTCCGATGAATAATATAAAACATGCCTTGCAGCAACCAGTTTGGCAAGAAAGCATTGTCATACAGTATCGTAAAAACCTCACAGTGAAAAGTTACAGTATGCCCCTTTATAGATAAAGATCAGCATTCAGTTACATGTGCTCACACCCACACAGCCATACATTCAGCACACACACACACACACACACACTTGTATAAAATGTTTCATAACAGTTTAACAATCTCACTTCAGTTCCGTGTTACTAATGTAACTGCTCTTCCTTCATTTCATACTTCTCGTTTTTGGCTTGAGCCAAAAATACATTGCAGGGAGCGAGTGTTCAGTTTTACATTTGAGTAAAACCACAAACAGCCTTGTGTCCAGACTGCGGATAATCACAGACTGGGAGAAACAAAGAAGGCCCTGATAAGAAACAGAAGAAGTCCAAGCAAAGGTTGTCGTGTTTTTCTATTTGCGTATGTGTGCATATGTGTGCATGTGCGTTCTCCTTCATTATTAAGTCCACAACAACAAGTGTCCATCCCTGTCAGCGACAGTGACGTTACCGTGGCCTTTTCTCTCAAAAGATTAATAAATTACTTAAGATTACTGTACTTTTGAGCAGAATCATTAGTGTGTGTTTCATATCAAACATTTGTTCTTTGGTTATTTGTCATCCTTCATGTTGTCCTTGCATATTTTCTTTTACGAAACATAAGTTTTTGCTTTTCACGAAAATAAATAATGACTCCACATGAAATACTTGTACAATTGCTCATAAACACAAGCAATGCCACTTCCGTCCTAAGGCAACTGGGCTTCATTATCTCTCGGGCAGCTTGGAAGGAGGGGTGGGGCCTTCAAACATGACCGACGGCCGACACGTGTGTGCCTGAGTTCGTGACGCGAACATACAGACTCGTCTCTGTCGGTCGTCTCCTGTCCCCGGTGTGTTTGCACCGAGCTGTTGGTGCTCATTGCCTCATCGAGCTGACCACTCAGTCTCTCTGCAGTCTCTGCCTCATCAGTGCAGGGGGAGTCAGTCTGCGGTCGGCCGGTGTG